TTGATTATACAAGCGTTAGGCTGGCATTGGGCTTTCTATGTGGCGGCCATTGTTATTTTATGCGGTATGATTTTATGGTTTATATTCGTAGCAGACAATCCGGCAAAGCATAAAACCATTAGTGCCGAGGAAAAGCAATATATAGAGAAAAGTTTAGGAGTCAATGTATCCAATAAAAATGTAAGTGTTTAATATTCATTTTTCAAATTCGTAAAAACATTTCAGTATATAAAGTAAAAATTTATAGCGTATTCCCCCGTATTGGTCCATAATGAAATCTACACCATTCTGGGGTCTAATATTATTACACTACGGCAGTATGTGGGGTCTATTTTTTCTATTGACCGCTACGCCCAAATTTTTAAGCGAAGTTCTTGGTTTCAATTTATCATCGGCCGGTTTCATAGCCAGTCTACCTCACCTAGTTCGAATGCTAGGAGCATTTGTTTTTGGTTCCTTAGCAGATTGGATTAGAAGACGGGATTGGTTAACAGTAACAGCAATGCGTAAAATTTTCTGCATACCTTGTACGTAGAGCGAAAAATCCCTTAAAATTTTGAATGATTGATTTGTAAACTTTCTACAGCGCATATCCTACCCGGAGTTTTTTTAATTATCTTGGCTTATTTTGGCAAGGATCCTTATGTATGCGTAGCTCTAATGACCATATCACTGGGATTCAATGGAGCCGCATCTGTTACTAATCTACAAAATTCCCAAGATTTAGCTCCCAATTACGCTGGAACTTTGTACGGCATTATAAATTTTCTGGGTACTACTCCTGGCTTTTTTTCTCCCATGCTAGTTGCTGCATTTACCGAAGAAAATGTGAGAGTTTTTTAACTTTTTTTCTTTTTTGACCTTTCTCTCTTTTTTCATCAATTCTGTTTCTTTACTTTTAGAATGCTATCGAACAATGGCATTGGGTATTTATAATAGGTGGCCTGATTTATATAGTACCAGCTCTGATTTTTTGGTTAATTGGCTCCGGTAGTGTACAAAAATGGAATGAATTTGAAGGAAAGGAAGGAGAGAAAACTACAATGGATAAAATTTAAATATAATGCGCTTTATTAAGATAAAATCATCCACCTTTGATGCCAGTGCGCATCGCCTTTTTATAATATTTATTATGTATCTAATTTATAAGTTATAAACTAAAAATATCAAAAAAAAAAAAAAAATTATTTGAAATTTATTTATATATATGTATAAATACGTTTCCATTTAAATTGTTATGATAAACAATATTGACAAAATTCATGATATTCCTGTTAATTAAATTAGCAACATTTTCTACACGTATACATCGAATGCCGTAATGTCAACGGCATATATATGATAAATCATTGTGAAAATGAAGTATTTATGAGAATACACTTGAGCTGTGAAATGATGAACGATCGCGGTGAAAGTTTATCAAAAATATCCTATATAATATTAAGTATAAATAAATTAAATATTAAATATATTACGATAAATGGTGATGACAATGCGGTTGATTGTAATTTCTTGCAGGTGATCTTGCAGAAATGACTCAATCCGTTAATCTTTTTTTATGATATGTTTACGTATTATAATAAATTACTTTTATTCGTAAATTCATAAAGTATTCAAATTTATGATTTTGATTATACCTTTCACTGAAGGATTGAGGGGTGCATCCATTTTGTCAAAACGTTTGCAATGCCCAGAAGAAAGTATATATATTCTTGATCAGTAGCAAATTTCAAATCGATATACTCTTGTCCATCTGTCCATCCGTATAAATTTGTTGTAAGCAATCTCCTGGGCGCAACTATCGACTTCCAATTTGGCGCAAACATTGGAAGTTCTTGCACGCAGGCTGGTATTGAAAATGGGCCAAATCGTGCGAAGGACACGCCCACAGCACCACGTAAACTAATAACACCTCTGTTTTCCAAAGGGAATAAAAAATTGGTTTTTTGCCCATTACTCATAACCTATAGCAGACGAACGTATGAAACCTTGGACACACGTTCTATTGGCGATTCTGTAGCATTTATGTGCAAAAATGAAAAAAATTGCCCACCTCTACCCAATATTATATTCTCCCATTAGCGAAAATATCGCTTACAAATTTGCAAAATAATTTGCAGTTGGTCTAAACGTTTCCAAGGAGACGCCTACAATGCCCACATGCCTATGCGACAAAAACTTTTATTTTGAAAATAGAAAAAATCAGCTGCGTCCATTATCATGAAAATTTTGTTCTTTTACCTCTGTTGTCGTTTGTAGCTTAACGGTGATGGATATAAAAGATTCGGTCCCGTCCGAATTTAATTTTCTTATTTGCTTTCATTGATATTTTTGTCCCTGAGGAGCTACACGATAATAAAGTATTTTTTGCAATAGTCTCCGGAATACTCTCTTTTCTTTTGCTAAAATACGTACGACGTTCACTTACATAGAGTTCGAATTTCGAAAGATTGGAAAGAATCTTGGTTATGTCATTAAAAGCTATTTCAAAAATTGATGCGGTTTGACGATATGCTTGCGATTAAAGGAAGAGAATTTGAGAGATGGCTATTGACTATAAACCTACATTGTCTATGTGGCGTCAACGGATTGATGTAATTGAAGAATTCAAGTCCCGTCTGACCCGGTCAAATGCTCTTGCTCTTGACCTTATCCCTTATTAAAATAGCTTTGGCTGTGAAATAATCAAAGTGGTGAAGAGCTTCATTCTACCAGGCTTTACAGTTAAGTTCAGTAAGTGAATTGAAGGCAACGAAATGATTTCGAAGCAAATATATTTGAAGGTAGAATTGGAGGGTACTCTGATGGAAGAGAAGCATTATTTTTTTTTTCTTTTGAATAGAATCAGTCGGTGTTAGTTGTCATTGGGATTGGAAATAAATAAATTTACTCTTTTCATATTGAGTCTTAGCATAGCTTATGTACTTTTTAATTGTCTCACTTAAGCAGGTAGAGAATCACCATATTGCGCAACAGGGCGAAGAATTTAGGACCAATACATTGTGTTCTTATAAACATTAATAAAAAGAAAAAAAATTGATGCATCAAAACAAAAAGCTAGTTGTTCTCTACTTTACAGCTGCGGCATGTTGCTGAACCGTTATGCAAATCCAATATTTCCAATAATTCTATACACAAAATCCAACATCTACCATGGTAAATATAAACGATGTGATAGCCGAGAGCGTTGTCAACATCTAACGAAGAAAAGGCGTCATGAGAGCATCGCGACAAGCATGCATACAATTAGCACTGTTATCGCGTAAAAATGCCATGCAGGAATAGGTATCAGTGGAATCGCATAGGAAATCTTCAGTATATTCGCATTGAGAATGAACCGTCAAAACTATACGTATTTATAAAGGTTCAACAATCACAGACAAAAGTGGCAACACAGTCGTTATGAGCTCTGTCAAAAAGGCAAAGCAGTAATGGAATAATCTGTTAAATGGCAAAGGAGTAGCGGAATAATCTGTTAAATTGCAAAGCCGCCGGCATTTAAAAGATATGATTGAGAAATCATATTATTATTATTATTAATTTCGCCAGAGAAATAAATTCTAAGACTAAACTCTTAAAAGCACTAGCATCTAAGGCTATCGGCTCTTTATGAAAAACTCTACCGCACTTGAAATTCGAACCCACGACCATTGACTTGCCTACTCGGCTACTCAGGCGGATATATTATTATTATTTTTTGGCATTTTATAAGAAAAAAAAAGCAACTTTGAAAATTTCATTAAAAATTGTGTAAAAAAGTCTGTTATAAACAAAAGAAAAAATATGTCAACACAACCAGAGAATTCGTTGTACGACCAGAGAATTCGTTGTACTTGCTAGTCGAAATTTCTCGCCTTCGGCTACTCAGGCGGATTGAGAAATCATAGAAATCATAGTTTTAGCAGTTTGAACACTGCTTAAGATATGTTTATTACCTATCTGTATATCGACAGTGACCTTTTAATTATAAAAAAGATCGTTTTGACTTTAAATTCTTTAAATTCTCAATTGTACAAAAATGCAGACGAATTTTTTCAATATTTTCTCAGATGTAGCCAAATTCGGACGGGCTCTTTGAATTACTCTCAGATGTAGCCAAATGCAGACTCGTTTTTTCAATTATATTCACGAAAGTTTAAAAGAACCCGTTTTATATTTATAAATTAATCTGGTTACGTTAGTTCATTTTGTAAGTACGCTTTCTCTCTTGCATACCAACGAAACAGCATGCAACCCTGTGTGCGAAATTCACTCCAAAAAACAGAATTAAATAATATTTACTCAACTCAGCGAGTTGTTGATTTGCTGATTAACAGAAGAAGAAGACCAAGAAAGACTAATTTAGCGATTGAATTAAATCTTCTTCTTATTTTCTTCATTTTTCCTTCCTTTTGTGTTTGTTTTTCGTGCGAAACTTTATATATAAACATTACCACTACACGCATAACAATTATGTTTACACTGTAAAACCTATATTCAAATAATTTATCAACGTTATTAAGGTTCCAACAAAGAAGAATTGCTCGCCACTTACGTGTTCACATCGAACATTTTTTACACAACGCTGTTTGGTTGTTGGTTGTTGACTTGCTGGCTTGCAGAAGAAGAAGATATAAATATTACAACAGCGAGCGGGCGGTTAGCCAGTTGTAAATTGCTTATCTAAAATCAGGTTTTGTTCAATTTTGTTGCTGTCTTTAAAAGGTTTTTTTTTTTCTTTTGCTAATTTGGTAGCATTAAGTATATAATCATAAAAAAGAAAATTTTCTTCAAGAGATAAAATGAACGAAATTGAAACAACGCAAATTATTTCCAAAGCTTTGAAACAACAGGTAATGATTTTCAAAAAGCGGGATCATTCGACTTTAACTAAATTAATAATAAAATATGAAGAAGGGAGCGTAAATATTATATATCGATATATGAACTTTGCTTGGTTGTCGTTACAAGTCATGGCTTGAAGATACTTTGAACTTGAGACTTGTAATTTTCTTCGAAATATTAAATTAATTTTAACTCATTCTCCTTCATATATAGGGCGTAGAATATGTTTTCGGTATTGTGGGGATTCCTGTGGTGGAATTATCTATGGCTTTGCAAAACGCTGGTTTGAAATATATTGGAATGCGCAATGAACAAGTAAATTAAATCTCGATTTTATTTTATTTTTTTTTGCTTAAAATATATATAAACCTTTGTTTCAGGCAGCATGTTATGCTGCGCAAGCTATCGGCTATTTGACGGGGAAACCAGGTGTATGTTTAGTGGTTTCTGGCCCTGGTTTATTGCATGTTATTGGTAAGTTTACGACACCTAATTGTTGTATAACAATTTAGATAAGAGTACGTATTAATAATAACCTAATTAATAATCTTTCTTGTGGTTTTTTTCTTTTTTTTTTACAATGCACGCCCAGGTGGAATGGCAAACGCTCAAATGAATTGTTGGCCACTTTTAGTTCTGGGTGGTGCCACCAATCAAGATCACGAGGGTATCGGTGGTTTCCAAGAGAGTCCTCAAGTTGAATTATCCCGTCCCTATTGCAAATATGCAGCTCGGCCGCCAACGGCTGCCCTAATACCTTTACATATTGAAAAAGCTGTTCGATATGCTACCTATGGACGTCCTGGTGTGTCTTATTTGGACTTTCCAGGCAATTTATTACAAACTACTGCTCCTAGAGAGGAAATTTATAATACGGTCTGCCACGGTCTACCCCCTTTAATATATCCCGTTCATGATGATGTAATAAGAGCCGCTCACCTTCTACGTTCTGCTGAAAGGCCCTTGATTATCATAGGCAAAGGAGCGGCTTATGCGAAAGCCGAGAATATCTTGAGACACTTTGCTGAAAACACAAATTTTCCATTCTTACCTACACCGATGGGAAAAGGCGTAGTTTCCGATACAGCTGCACAATGTGTATCATCGGCTCGAACATTAGCTTTGCAAAAAGCCGACGTAATTTTGCTTTTAGGAGCTAGACTTAATTGGATTTTACATTTTGGACGTCCGCCACGTTACAATAAAGATGTGAAATTCATACAGGTATTTTATTTAAAACTTACACAAAGGGTAAATTTGTAAAATTTGTTTCAACATGCCTTTTCAGGTTGATATATGTGCCGAGGAATTGAATAATTCTGTCAAAGCTACTGTTGCCATACAAGCTGATATTAAACCTTTTGTTGAGCAATTGTTCGAAGAAATGAACGCGGTGAATTTTCACTTTGACAGCCACCGACCGTGGTGGCACCAATTAAATGAAAAATGTCAGCAGAATCGTGAAATGTTTCTTTCCTTAGCAATGGATACTTCACCTCCTTTGAATTATTACACTGTCTTTCATCATTTATATCAATTAATACCCAAGGACGCTGTAATCGTTAGTGAAGGAGCAAATACAATGGACATAGGACGTGCTGTGTTGTTAAACTCTTTACCGCGTCATCGTTTAGATGCAGGTACATTGATAAGAAAGACGCTCTAGAACATAATATTATACTCAACGGTTTGCAGGTACATTTGGTACAATGGGCGTTGGTTTAGGTTTCGCGATAGCTGCCGCTTTTTATTGCCGTAACCAATGCCCGGAAAAGCGGGTAATATGCGTGGAGGGTGATAGTGCTTTCGGTTTTTCTGGGATGGAATTGGAAACGATGGTCCGCTATAAACTGCCTATAATTATAATAATAGTAAACAATAACGGCATATACGGGGGATTTGATCAAGAAACGTTCAATGATCTACGTAGTGATGGAGATTTGTCGCAAGTGTGAGTCTACATGTAGTTGAAACAAACAATTATTCAAATCGGTAATTACTTTTAGAACACCGCCATCAGCTCTAACTGTTGAGGTTCGTTATGAACGAATGATGGAAATGTTTGGCATGAAAGGTTACTTTTGTAAGACAATACCGGAACTTCAGCGGGCTATTAAAGAATCATTACAGTTGATAGATATGCCTACAATAATCAATGTGGCTATAGATCCGACATCAGATAGAAAGCCTCAATCTTTTCATTGGTTAACTGAATCAAAATTATAGAGACGCAAGCAAGCATACGGTAAGCGGCTTTTAGGACTTCTTTTAAATATATATATATTCGCACCAATAGATGTATTTTTAACGAAATAAAAAGAAAAATGCCTATCCGTCCAATTCCTGAAATGGTAGGCACAGGGTAAAACAATAATGAATCATTCCATTTTAATGTTGGAAGATTTCGGTTAATTTTTGTAGATGCATTTTTTTCTAAAAAAAAATTAAATAAATTACCTTTTCATGTTCTTTGTACAGTAATCTTTGTTTTTTTTTGGCAGATTTGCGGTACAATGCATTTTACACGCACACAACATTTATAATTTTTATCCCCATAAAGTTAATATAATTGTGGAATTTGCTGTTTCGGTAAACACTAAGTTTTTAAGCTGTATGGGACGATGGGACGAATTTATTTCTCTTAGAAAAACGCGATTTTTCTTCCAAAATGACGTTTATTTTTAAAAAAGTTTACAAAATCACTAATAAAAATTTTTTTTTAAAAATATAATCCGTAAAAATTAAATTTATATCGAGAATATAGAAAAAAAAGAAAAGACAAACATTTGTAGCGTTGTCGTCGTAGCAAAAAAAAAAAAAAAAGTAATAATGAAATAACAAGTTGGTCTATTCACCGTCTTTTTTTAAGTCTTGTTCCAAACCTAAGTACTCCAAAAAGCAAGAGAAGTTTACTAAACGGCCCTTATGCAAAAACGGTATTTTTGGACACAATTCAAAAGCAACGTTGACGGGCGTTATGTCTGGTCCACTGCCGCAACTCATATCAAGGAAATTGAGAAAATCACAAACTTCTATTTCGCCGCAATCGTTTTTATTCAATACTGACATCATATCATCGATCAATTCCTTCGAGAATGGCAAACGACAACCTTTCAGCGTAGATCTTAATTTTACTTCGGCCAGGAATGGTTTATTCAGCGGATTGATATGATAAAGGTGTTCTTTTAGTTCATCCATAGCATTCCAGAGAGTTCTTTTCAATTCCAATCGTACTGCACCCAGGACATTTTCTTTATTACAGGTAATGGGCGGAGCTTGTTCAGCCGAGAAGTGACGACATAAAGTGATTATTTCGTGATTGGTGATATTATCGGCTAACGCGTCAACCAGCGCTCTCTTTAGCGATTCGTAGCCTATGAAGTGTACATCTTTTTGATCGCCACCCGATTCTGACAAACAATTGCACACGAAATTCTTATAGGTGGGACGTATAGCTTCACGTATTTTACTCATAATTGTCTTAACGTCCGCTAAGGGGAACTGGAAAAAGACAAATACAAAATTTATGTACTAATTAAAAGCAAAACATATTTCAATTGCCTCTTGAGGATGATGTTCCATATAGATCAGGGTATATTCATCAGCTGAGACAATATGAAATATATGATCTTTTAGACTTATCGTAGCGCCAATATAGAAATTGTATGGTTGATAGTACTGCGGACGTCTTGATGTGAACTTTTCCTGACCAGGCAGCGGAATGCGTGTACGCTTCATAAATTCTCCACCCAAGAAACCGGAGTTGCGTTCAGCAATCTCATATATTTGTATGGTGTCATCGGACAGGTAATAAGAGACTATAAACACTCTTTCACAATTTTCTTTGATGGTCGACAGAAGTTTCGCGCCATAACGTAAAACAAAGCGATCCAATTGTATGAACTTTTTGAAATCGGCCTGTGGCGGTTTCGGTTCCACTGACAGACAATTGCCCTCCGAGTCTTCATACGTACCCCAGCCGTTGTAAGGTGGCAAAATTCGTTCTTTAATTTTTGAAGGTATGCAATCGTCAGCCCGTATTGGTACGGGAGCTGGAGTAAAATCTTCGATGCCATACTAAGGATAAACAAGTAAGGAATTAATGTGGAGCGATAGCAAAGGCTAAGAATTTTACCCGTTTACGATAATAACTTTGGGTAAATTCATCGCAATCTGTTAAAACTATCGCACGACCATAGACGTTGAGTACTGTTCCTATTTGTAGATCCTTGTCCTTATAAAAAATGATGTCTTTCCGACCTACATCCAAAGGATCTACAACATAACGTACATTCCGCATATTTGTACCTAAAACGTTAAGTAGGCTTTGGGGTGTTTGTTCTCCTGGCAACGGAATGCCACTAAATTCCTGAACAAGATAAATTGTCAAGCTTTAATTCAGTTAGTAATCAACAAACCATACTCTGGGTAATTTGCTTCTTTTCAAGAAAGTTGAGGGTCCTTCACGTCCTGAATTTCGTGGAAATATTTCTTTGATATCAATTGTGTCATCGGAGAGATAATAGCACACTTCCAATCGACGCACATCACCAAACTCCGTGCGATCGTCCCAATAAGCTGAAAATTTTAAAACGATGCGATCGAATTCCAAAAATTGAGCAAAAGGATGTTTTTTCTCCTTAGTGATAGTTGCTTTGCGGTCGGCGCGTTTACGCATTTCTGTGGTAGGATCGCTGGAAGGGAAATGTATTATAAATTTACGGCAAAAGCTTGTCGTTTTTGCTTACGTGGGTGCGTCCACGGGATCTGGTACTGGAATCCCAGATTTGTTAAGGAAGTGTCTGGTAAATTTATCACAACTTGTTATATGATAAACCCGATCGAAAATCTGTATCGTCTGATCCACATTTAAATCCAAAATAGATATAAAGTCCGATTGGCATGGCGGGGGCTTGGGTATACGTTGACGATGAACCATGCAGCCTTGCGGTATTCCCGAGTTCTCAACTTTCGGTTCTAAGACCTGCATAGTACCGTCTTCTAGATAATATAAAATTTTAACTCTCCGCACTTGAAACGGTGCCTGATATACTTCCTGTAAAGTTTCTTTAAAATAGGCATTAAAACATAAGACCTGCTTGTCATAAGCTAGCCACGGCGGCAACTTAGGTCCTATTTTCGGCGGATAAATAGACGGTACTGATACTGGCGGACAATTGGGATCGATAACAAAACCACTCGAATCTACTAGACCGGGCGGTTTACGATCTGACAGCATACTAATACCCTGGTAATTCATTAAACTTTGCGGCTTCGGATAATGACTTTTGGTAATCTGAGGATAAAAAAGAAAAAATTATATATCAAAACCTTTTTTGTTAATGAGAATATGTACTTACATCCCGGAACACCGTTCCCGGCAAGAATGGCATGCCTGGTATACGCAACATTTTCTTTACAGTTCTCTTCTTGCTTTTTTTGTTTCTATTGGAATATTTCACCGTTTCTTAAAAAGATTGTCCGAAGTTTACTTTTGTTTATTCGATTATTCTAAAAATTCTACAAAATATTTGATAAATATAAACGAAATTTTTCCTTTGGTCTTTTATTTGAAATCTTATAAAAGCAAATAAGTCACAAATATGCCTAATCGTTTTGAGTTGCTAAGCAGGCCCCACCAGAGCTGTATTTGAATGATTCAAATACCGTTACAATCGAATGAAATGCCAACATAAAAAACAAAATACCAGATGTGCGGGTTAATAGAGGTAAAAAAAAAAAAAAAAACACATTTTTGAAAAGCAGTAAAGTAATCATGCAACAGGTATTACTGAGTTTGGCGCTGTTGACGAAATGTCGTTGCTTTTTTGATATCGGAAATGGGTAAGAGCTTTTTGCTACATTGGCGTAAAGAGACAAGAAAGACTTCTATATATAACTAACGCGAATGTGAATGATAAGGTTGCACATAATACATCTGTACTCTTCAACGTATCTTGGTATTCGTCCGAAGTCAGAAGAGCTATTAAACCCCGTAATAGGGCATATAAGAAATGGCAGTGCTACCGCAGTAAGCCTAGGTGGGAAGTCTTCCGGAAGTATAGGAATAGTATGTACTATCGAACACAAAGCTATTATTGCAAAAAGTGTGATCCCAATCAGCCTCCGAAACGTCTTTGAAAGAATCTACGGGATATTTGCATGCGAAGTTTATCTTGTAAAGCTGAACGAATATTTTTTGAGTTCCGATTGTGGTTCATGGACATTATTTGTCAACCAGGATGCACTAGATCGACATAGAGGTGTGTTTGAATGGAGAAGTCTCGGAAGCGAGAAAGCGTGGCACTCTGTACAATGCCTTAAATCAAACGATATTACTCATAATAATATTAGCACCGAGGTTTTGAAACTAATTCTTCTAGAAATCGGTCTCCCTTTGACCCTTGTTTTGAATTATATAGACTGTTGGCAAATGGCGATAATGACACCAATTACGAAAAAGTCGCTTCAGGAAAAAGTTATCCCTCAAGATTATCGCCCATTTAGCATTCTTCCTGCTTTATCGAAGGTAATTGAACGATCAATGATTCCTCAGATTAGACTGCACCTGAATCCGCCATGTTATATACCGGTCGATCGTTCGGTTTACTTTATTTCTCAGGTAATGCAGGGTAAATACGAATGCATGTGCTGGTCTCTGTAACTGCATTTTGCTTCTAAATAAATCAATCAATCTTCATACACAAAACACTCAATAAATCATTTTTATATTATGAAATTCATTCTATTTTCAACCAAAGAGAAAATAAGACAAGTAAGAAAGTTCTATTCGGCTACGGCCGAATTTGGCTTACCCACCACCACTCCACGAAGATCTCAGCAACACACACCATATAGACGCACAAACGGACAAAAAGGGCCTAATCAATTCAGAATTTCATACTGATCAAGAATATATACATGCTTTATAAGGTCTCTGAAGCTTGCCTTTGGGCGTTGGGAACGTTATGACAAAATGAGTATACCCTCCGCCTTCTTCAGTGATGGACATAAAAATATTGATAGAACTTAAATTTAATTAGAATCTATAGCTTTGATAATAAGTGTATGGCCAAGACACCATCCTTTTCTGTAACGCCTAAATTAATATTGGCTTTACCATCATCGTGAACTATGACGGATTTACCGGAGCATTTGTTGTCTACCTTCGAACCTGAAATTATATCGCAGTAAGTGCCGGATGGTAAACAAGTCGCAACTGTACGGTTCAAGTTATAGGAGTCACCGTTAAAGGCTATGAAACCCTTATTGCCACGACAAAAGGTGATTTGATTTTTGCCATTGTCCCACCAGTTCCTTATAGGCGTCTGTCGTCCCACTACATTACGGAAAGTTACCATATTATAAATTGGGAGCCAACGATGCTCACAAATCCAACCACCATTACATAAATTGTCTGAATTGATGACAGGACTGCGTGTATGTGTGCCATCTGTTGTAGGCGGTCCTTGATCGGGATCATTGAAATCAAATGAAGACATAACGCGGACTATGCCAAAAGGATGAGCAAGCATAAAAGCCATGGCCATTTTATATTGCCTAGGGTTTTTGTAATTAAGAATATCTGAACCACCAGCTCCATGACCACGTTGATTATCGTGATTGTCAACGAACACTAACGAACGTTCAGATGGCATGAAGCCCCATTCAGGTCCCCAGTTAATCAGCCAACGGAGATCATCTTTTCCCCGAAAAACTCTGCTTATTGACGCTGAGTAACGAAATTCAGTAACGAAACCCAAATTCACGTATTCGTACTTTGACACTGCCTCTCCGCCCATGTCAATGACTTCTTGGTATATAAAAGGCCGTGTATTAGAAAGGAAGCCATGTGCTGTACTCAAATTATTTAAACGCTGAAAAATCGTCTGAAAATTATGAAGAATAAGAAAAAATTTCCGAAAATTTCGTTAAGATATTTACTTTCAAATCCGAAGGCCACATATGCTTAGCGGCGTCGACGCGAAACCCAGCAACACCAAAATCCAGTAATTTATTCATCAAATCTACTATACGTTGTTGCACCCAAGCTTTGCTTTGATCCAAATCTTTTAGACCAACCAGCTCGCAGTTGCGTACTTCTCGAGCGTCATTGTAATTGTTAATGCTGCAAGATGGATGAAAATCGAAATATGAATAAGGAACAGCGGGATAATCTTTATTGTTCGGTTGAGCTGTAGAGCCCGCAGTGCCCACAACGGTGCCGTCGCCGCCAGCCATATGATTAAAAACTATGTCAACGTACACCCGAACACCGAGAACGTTGCATCGTCTCACCATGTCCGCAAAGGCTTGCTCCGAACCTGATCGCGTTTCTAACAAATACGAAATTGGCTGATAACGTTCCCACCAAGGTCGATTAGCAACGATAGCGTTTTCGGTCACAGGTGAAATCTTTAGAAAAAGATAGAATTCTAGTTAATAAATCGAAATATTATTACATTGTTAAAGTCTGCTTACCTGAACTCCTCCATAACCTTTCGGTGCTAAGAATTGCTCACACTCTTTGGCTATATCATCCCATTTCCACTCGAATAAATGCACAATACTACTGCGATTCGTATCAAAGTGTGGATCGAACTGACCACTAACCGGATGGTCAGCGAAATTAAGCAGCAAAATAATACTTATTGAAACAAATAACATTTTATTTGAGCTGAAAGTTTCCGAGAAATATTTCTTCTTTACAGTACCTACCATGCACTAAAAGTAAAAGTAATGGAGATGCAGAAGTGCTTTGCGTTGTAAACTACTACTGGGAGATATGAGAGATATGAGATCGCCTTATCTAAGTTTTACTCTCATTATCTCTTTTTTCGTTTTTTGTACTATTGGTCTGTTTAATGGTTACAGATACTCGGCACGTTAATTTAAATCGTACAATAACTGCCTGCCATGATGAAGATGGGCCGGAACATTGTAAGCTTAGGCTGGCAATAACGTGCTGTTATATATATATGTATAATAGAAGAAGAAAAATGCTTTACTATTGAGACTTGTAAGGCCGTTGATATACATATAATATTGAAAGTCACCGCACGTAGTTTACAAATGAAGGAATCGTTGCAATGAAGAGGAACGGTTATGATTAATCTAATCATAATATTTCTCTAAAATGAAAGTATTTTTTTACTTTCTTATTTCACGATAATCCAATGAAAGGCTTGTGAAAATCTATGCGCAACAACTACGATCATTATAGAAAGCGGGTGTTACTACTAAGACGTCTCGGAACCATTAGAACATTGAATTTTGCATTCTTTCGTTACCGCTTCTTTTTTGGAATCGTTGTTTTTCTCTTTAATAGAGTCAGAAAGTTGTCTAAGGTGCCGGGGGAGGGCGTTTGATATTGTCTACTTAAGTTACTGCCAATCTAAGGGTAATTTCTACGCATTTGGATAAGATCGCTCGAAATAAATAGAAAACTGGACTCCTGCTTTATTGTATTAGACCAAGCTTCTCACAGGTAAAATTAGTTTGAACTTCCTTTTGGCAGTGTAATAAAATTTTACAAGGTTTTTTGCAATCATAGTTTATTTTATTTTCCATTCAAAACAAATATAGATGACAAATTATCTCCACAAGTTTTTTCCTAGCCGCGCTCGAGATGACTGTGTTTATAGATGTGCTCGATTATAGCATCGATTTCAGTCGTCTCACAGCTATTTCGTAGTACTCTTCAGTGGTGACAAAGTCTCTTCTAAAAGCTCTTTCTACACCATTCAATATGGATAGCCAAAAGAAGCATTCTCGGAAAGTTACCGTTCATTGCACCGTTTATGAGCGTGGCACTATGACTATTAGAATCGTTCGCAATTGGTTTAAGAAGTTTAGAGCTGGCCATTTAGATTTGAAAGGTGAAGACCGTAGTAGCCGGACTGCGGATCTCATCAAGAGTATGCTCGCTAAAAATCCGTGATATAGTCGATACCATCAACATTCCCAGGACAACAGTAAATAATCATTTAATCAAGAAAAGGAAGAAAATTATGGGGCACCCTAGTATGAATTTGAAGGATCTTTTATGATCCTTTGAATTGAGAATGCTTTAGAGTTGTCTGGGGATAGCCTCTTTGTAAGTTATATTTCTGATCAACAATTTTTGTACTTTCTTTTCAATAACAAATCACGAAGTAGCAGCCTTAGGCACGAGATTAAATTGTTTTGCTCACATCTTCAAATAAAGTCGTGATTTTAGTTGAACAAAATAGTTTTTCTATTTTTTTTTTTATTATTTTTGTAGCAATTTCAGAATGCTAACAATTTTATATATAATTTCATATTAATTTGCCGTTGAGTGACGTTATTATGAACATTAATATCACAAAATTGATGCCATATACTTTACTTCAAATTGTTTTTGATAAAATAAAAAAAAATCAAAGAACTTAGTCTTCGCTACAGTTTCAGTTATCGTACAATTGCCAGTCGATTGTATAATATTTTTTATGATTATCACAAAGCCATTCATTTGCACAGTATTGCGTACAAAAGTAACAAGTAAATAATCGGCGAGATGTACTGCCACGCCTAAATATAAATTATAAATATTTTTTCTTTCTTTAATTAATAATTCTTAAGGAATACTACTTAACTCGATAACTAACCTTTTAACCACCATAAAATAATAACTTGTGAAGAGAGGATTTGAACATTGTAAAAAGGTGCAACGAGCTATTGGACCGTTTCTAATATGATCTACCATAAATTTTTCAGGCAGAATATAATTGAGAGCGGGATTATTGTATATGGGCGTTAAGCGATTCAAATATTCCAACGATTTCAAGCAGTCGTCATAGAGTGAGACTTGATTCTCTTTAGACGGTACACGAAATACACGCCGCGTTCCTATAGGAAGTAATAGCTTGGTATTAGTCTCCTTTTCCAGCACCCAAAATAAATTCTCATGACTCATTACTCTATAAACGGTAACGCAAAAAAAAAAAAAATAAATAAATAAAGAAAACAAAAAAAATTCATAGGCGCTTTTGAAAGTAAATTAACGAAACAACAAATAAACAAAAAAATTAGTTTCCTCACACAAGAACAACACAGAATTATGTCATACATGTTTGTTACTTTCGCTATTGTCTCATAAAAACTCTGATAGAATTTTTCGTAGATTACTGGTATGTGAGTAACAGCGCCGTTATTAAATATTCTTAAATATCCGATGAATTTCGCTAAAGCCACCGGTAAATAGATCAGTGAACAACCTAAAAATAATAAAAATGCTTTAAAATGAGCTTATGTTAGTTATGTGTTTTTCACTTACGCTCGGCGGAAAACATTTGTAATGAGGGCATATAAGCGATACGTTCCGGTATATGCCAAATATCCACATTATCGCTGACATTCAAATTACTCAACCTGGATAATTCGCAAAGGTGCAGAGGTAAACGTTTGAGGTGATTTTTGGATATGTTTAAAGTTTCTAAGCGTCTCAATGAATTTATATCTGCAAAGAGAAGGTAATCTAATGTAAGACATTTTTTTGTCGTAGATATTAGAAATTTATAGCATATTGTCCGGGGTTAATCTTAAACACTCTTTAAACTGAGTTTCAATAGTGCGGATTTTTGGATTTTTCGAATATTTTTTTTTAATCAAGACGAGTAAGACGAGTACCGCCGAAATTGCAATAATAATCTCTTGGCGCGGTTTGTTGATCAGACTATAAAAATGAAAATGAAAATATCATGCAAAGATTCCACAAACTATCGCCATTTGTTTTGAGTTTCATGTGAGGACTTGAGACATTGAGTTGACTGAATGCACAAGAAGATTAGATAACTTTACGTTCCTTGCAGGTCCTTGGGTAAATTAAAATTCTTTTCAACTTCTTAAAGCGCTCCTTTATGTGCAAAAATACACTGTACTTCTTGTGTGCAACCTTTATAAGTCACAAAAAATGTTGTTCAATTTTGCCCAACACACATTTAGTTATTTAGATTAATGAGAGACGCGAGATGCGCAATTAAATTAAGAAATTTCCTTCATACTCTCTCATATATTTTACATAATAAAGATGTTATATTAAATAGGTATTTTTACCATTCGGCAGCATTTCCAATTCGTTTGTGCTCACATTTAAATGTTCCAAATTTGTTAGCAGGCAAAGTGTTTCTGGCAGTGTAGTTAATTGGTTTTGTGATAAATCCAAGAATTCCAGATTTTCCAATAAGTAGATCTCTTCGGGAAGTTTAGTAAGATTATTGCCGGCTAAATGTATAAATTTTAAAGTAGTCAAGTTTAAAAACCATTTCGGAATGGCAGCTATATAATTCTCCTTAAGATAAAGCTCTTCGAGATCTTCATACAAGTACAAATCCATAGGAATGTCCTTGATATTTAAATAGCTCCAATGCAATGTACGCTTATTCATGACGATGAGATCAGTTGACAAACAATTTCTTACGGTCCTTTTAGAATTCTGTTTCAATAAATTTCTATTGGGAAATTGTTGTACTAAGCTTTTATTATAAAATTTTTCCCGAATTATTATATCACAGCGAAACAAATCTTATTTATGTCTACTTTAATAGTCGAACAAGAAGAATCTTTTCTATTTTTTTTGTTTGATTTTTTTTTTGTTTTAGTCGGTCATGATCAATACGACGTGTCGACTCAGTAAAATTTTGCCAAAAAATTTTACGAAATTTTCTTGATTAGAGAAAACCGAAAAATTATAAATAAAATAAAAAAAAAAAAAAAAAAACAGAAGAAACACTTTTCTCTTTTATTTTGTGTTGAATTTTCTTTTCATTCAATTTACAAATTTTGCTTTTTAATCAATTTCTTACGATTTGTTTACAAACAAATCGAATGCACATTTCAGTGACAACTTGTATGCATTTTTCTTTTTTACTTAATTTATTTTTATATTTCAATATTTTCTGTATTCGGCTTAACATTGTATTCTTCATGTTTCTAATTTTACCGTTTTTTTTTTGTTACATTTCCGTAGTAAGAATCAGTGAAAAAAAAATAAAATAAAATAAAACTAAAGCATATCTTAAGGATCGCAAAATTTTTCTTAACAATTCTCCCGCCAACTGACTAATTAACTAAACTAAACTAAATAAATTAGAGTTAAACGTGAACCCTATTGTTCTCGTTTTCTTATTTTTTCTTTTATTCTCTTCTAATAATTAATAAATAAACATTTTCTTAATAGCATTTTCTCATGCAGATCTTATAAAAACACGTACAATATATTTTAGCGAAATCTGCCTGAGTGGCCTAATGATCGTGAGTTCAAATCTCAAGCGTAGTAAAGTTTTTTAATAAAACCCGATAGTCTTAGAGGCTTCCTAGAGCTTTTTATGAGTTCTTTAGTCTCAGAATTTATTTCCCTGACTAAATTAATTATAATAATTTCAAGAAAAATCTAGAAAAGCAGGAAGGCAGGAGGTTCTTACTAAATATCCCAAATGTTTTGCAAGTTGGTAGAATATTGAAATATTGAAATATCGACTTAAGCTAATTGTAATTAATGTTGAAATTTGTCTCTCTTTGATTCTATTTTCTTTGAATGCATGCCTGGGCTGTTTTCCGCTTAATCTTTATCGAATTTTACGATACATTTATAGCAAGCAAAAAGACAATTTTGTTGCCTTGGTCAAGGTCACTATGGCACTGATGATGTATAAAGTGCATTTCAATGCTTTCAACAATAGCTTTCAAGAGCTGTCATCATTTTACATTGAAAAAAGCAAGAAAACGAAAAACTAATTTCTTTATTTCAAAGCCATAATTGCAAAAAAAACTAAAATTAGATAAAAAAAAAAACACTTTAGAAACTATATCACAATTTTTAGTTAAAAAAATTCAAAAAAAAAAAATAAAAAAAGAACGACCTTAGTAAATTGCTTGGACGTCCACTGTTAGTTCTTTATACTCTTGGTCGCTTAAAAAGTGCCAGTTCTCTCCTAAAATTTGTGAGACTTCACATTCTACTGATTCGTATGAGCGGCTACAACGGCGTAGCCAAGCGTAAAACTCGTCCGACCATTCCGGATGGCGGGGCCAGTCACAACGTAAAACAACTGCGAAACGTCGAACGTAGAAATGTCGCAAATTTTGAGCGGTACGTGCTAACAAAAGCACCGTTGAAGTAGACACTTTTTCACGTATGAGCTAAACGTAATATGAGTAAAAAGAAAGCAATGGTTCATCAACGACAAAATTAGCGAAAGCATACTCAATGCAAATGTTAAAGCGAGTACCACCTACCAAAGTGTGCAAATTGAAACATTGCCGACAAATTAACAACATCAGCGAATCGATGCGATTGTGAAACGCTTTGGGGCTACAGTATCGTGGCAACATTTCGTAACCATAGATCGCTAAAGTATTATGATAATTATCTATCATCCGTATTAGAGTATCGGGAAGTATCTAAAAAGAGTATGAAATATTTTTTATCCATCGCATGACCTTTTCAACTGGCTACAATTACCATTGATTTAGGTGCACTATAAGTGATACTATAGACGGGGGCCTCTGGTTGTATTACTAATTCGCCATCACTTAAAGATTCCAAGCGTAGATGGATTTTCAATCGGGGATTATCGCGTTTCAGTATACGCCAAGCTCGAACGCTGCAATGATTGATCGTTAAATACGAGGCGGTATAACAATTTTGAAGTAGATGTAAATGTTTTAAGCGCGTATCACCCAATAATGATAAAATGTCATCATCAATATTTTGTGGGGCAATAGTTAAGATCTGGAAGATGAGAGAACGCCTTTGCAAAAATCTTTCGCTTCTCTTTTGTCTGATAACTTACCTGCAAATTGATAAACAATCCGACATGAATTATGGGACAATGATGGGTTGTAACGTTAACTATATTCAATACTTTCATTGTCGTACAACAAGCGTCCAATACTTCATCTAACAAATGTTTGGCTTCATAATTCTCTAATACAAAGTCGACCAATTTCAAAACTCTCAAATATCTCAATTTCGAGAGTAGATCTTTTAAACCCTTAAGCATTTGTCCGCCAGTACCAAAAAGTTTAATGCCCTCTGGATCGTTAGCTTGGGACATATTACATGGGAATATATAAGTTAGCGAACGTATTCGTTGACCCATACCCTTCAAGTCGTTTGGACCATTCTTTTCCATACCCTTTCCCATGCTCCATGAAAGCATTGTCATAAATTGATAAATATTATTGAAACTGACTTCGGGTCGAAATTCTAAGCCGCGTAAATGCCTACCAATGCGGGCTAAGCAATGTTGCGTTCGCATATGATCCAAACAGTATTGCCAGCCCGAATAATAATTGTATTTTTGTCGAGTCAATGTACGATCATCCACCAGAAAATTATTCCAGACAGCGGGCAAGTAAAAAGCACGATACCACTGTTTACAGGCCTTGAAAGGAAAATTGTAATTTTTTTTTGTTTTTTTTCTTCAAATAATTTATTTCAAGAACGCCTGCCTACCAATCCAGCATAGTAGCGTTCTCTGGGTGTTAAATATGTAAATATTTCTTCCAAAATTAAATCTGGCAAATTGCACCAATTTGAGGGAACGCGTCTGTCATCATCTTCTCGATCACTGTCGCCATCGGCATCAATGTCAATGTAACAGGCTATGACAAGAACAAGCGAAAAGCAATAAAAAAAGAGTTAGAAAATATGCTCATATTTTTTTGCTAAGATCTCTGCTCCGGCTAATAATTATTTAATTATTTATAATTAATTAAATAAGATTGGATGTAATTTTGAAGTAAATATTTCACAATTAACAATACATACATTTATCCGCTACAGTTTATGACTAATTAACAAAACCTTTTGAGAAACGAAGGTGTTCTTAGTTTACGTGATACTGCAGGCGTGCCTTTCGACCGATTTTGCCCATTTTCAACGCAAAGCTACGTGCAAGACCTTTCAAATTTGATGTCGATAGCTTCATTTTTACGGACAGTAGAAGGTTTGCAACAGAAGGACAGACGGACATGCTTTAATCGATTCAGAATTTGATGTTAATCAAGAATGTATATACTTTGTGCGGTCTCTGGGGTATGCTTCTGATGGGTATAAAAATTACTTATTGATTTTGCGGATATGCTGTTTCGGATATGGGTTTTCGCTTCAAACCACGCTCCCTCGCTAAGATAAAGCGGACATGCAAAAGCCAATGCAAAAATTTTTCTTGGAAACGCCATTTATTGAAGACACGTTGTAATCAAGCCAGTAAAACATGGGGCATTTCCCATTTAAAAATTCTGTGTCCGCGGCAGGCGCCTTGATTAAGGAAATAAACTGCGGCCTAAGAGTACGTCAAAAAATTAGATGCCCAATCATTTAATGTATGTTCAGCACTCTGCTGGAGTCTTGATTGTGGGAGGTGCTGCAATCAGGAAAAAGTTGCTTCCTCTTTCAAGCTGAATAATGTCGAATTCATTTGTGTCTGACTGAAATCATATGTACACGATCTTCGTATTGACGGTTCTTCCCTCGTTCCTTTAGTCGTGTTACTCCCGTTCTTATCTCTCTAGCGGACTATAATATGACAAATATCGATCATCAAGATCATTGGTCAGGAAATTCGATTTTATATTCCGCGTTATTCATCGGTTCCTTAGGACGTGAAGGTGTATACAACTTAAGCTGTATACAGTTGAATATGGTACTACAACTCAAGTGATAAATTATTGGATTCAGTATTTCCGCAAATTATAGAGAATATCACTTATTGGACCCTTTACACGGCGGGAAGATTTCCTTCATCTGGCGACTAGTCTTTCTTGTGATACTGAATTGTATATAAGAAAAGAATGCGATCGCTTTATCTTAAAGCGGACCTGGAAAAGCCAATGCAAAAATTTTTCTTGCTAAGATTTTCTTTTCGTAACGACATTAAATGAAAATAAATATCGAATAGATTTATACATTAGTATACATTGCCACAACACCACAGGTGACAGTTAATGTACTTGTAAAAAAAAAAAAAAAATGTGAAAATTTCTTTTTCCCCCAACTATTTTGCAACGTTTTTTTGAGTGGACATATAAGTCATCATTATTGGCTTGGTTCACATTTTCATCTGTAGTTCTTTCTCTATACTTTCGACGGCTTTTCTTAAAACCTCGAAGCTGAAATTCGGGTAAACAAAAAAGCGATAACAAGATGGAATTAGCAAACAAACACGCCCACGATAAATTGAAAATCAAAGTAATCCTGATAAAAAGGAAAGACGGCCAATATTAGGCGCGTGTGTTAATTAGGTTTCGCTGAGAATAGCGCCGACGTGGATGTCTTCCGCCCCATGGTTTTACAAATCAACCAGTCCCTGTAATTACATTGTAACAGCTTTTCAAATATCCCAGATAGCCTTATTGGCGCCACCTGCCGTTATGCATTGCTTCAACAACCTTTTCTCTTGAAGCTTTTATCTCTTTTTGTTGTAAGAAGAAGCAGCAATAGTTTTCAAAACGCAAAAAAAAAAAAAAAAATACGAAATTGCGAGAATTTATGGTCTCTGAAGCATTAAAAGGCGACAAATGATGGCTAAAATATATTTTACATAGAACATTTTACGTCAATGCGGCCATACGTAGAAATAACTAAAAATATATCACACTGTATATATATATCTATATATATATATATCTTTCCTAAGAGAGAATATTTTCTTTTCTCGAAATTTTCGATTAAAAAGATTACCCTCTTCATTTTGATCGATTTTCCAGCCGGCTTTGTGCATTAATTCCTTTCGAGATGTCAAAGCTAAGGTGGTAGCCATTTGCTTTTGAATTTTTCGATCCTTTATGATGCTTTGAACGCTCTCGTAGCCTTTTTATCTTTTTGCAAAACCTTAAAATTCAAACATTACGTAAAAACTACGACAATTTGTAATAAATAATTAATATTTAAATAATTTTTTTAAAGAAAATTTTTTAAAATGTCTTTCGATTCGTTTGTAAAACAAGAACAATTGCAATTTTTCTTCGTTTTTCTTTTCTTTTATTTTTTTTTTTTTGCTTTTTTCATTAAATAATTTTTGAATTTTTTATCTATTTAAATACGATGCTAAAGTGAGCCGCTGCCTAAATTCGACTAGAGAAATATTTTTGAAAACAGCGAAAAAAATCTACTTTCTCTCTCTCCCTCTCTCTCTCTCTCTCTGTCTTAGCTCGTTCGTTTTCAATAGGTTTTGTAAACTGTCGTACTTTTCATTTCAATCATCAGCTTTACACTGTTCGTCTCTCATAGTCGTTTCTAAGCAAAAAAAATGATTTTAAAAATATACAATTTATTGTGCATAGGCTATTTCGCATAAATTCGATTCAATACTGTCTGTGTTGAATAGTCAAAATATTTTCGCTTGCTCTGCAGGTTTTGCTTTGCTTGATTTAACGAATTCTTCTTTTGTCAGTGTGCTTTGCCTTACATTTCATGCAATTTTCGTATTTCTACATCTATTACCGCAGGACGAGGGGTGTACTCATTCTGTCAATGCGTATGCAATGCCCAGAAGGAAGCATCAGAGACCCCAGTATCTACATATATTCTTGATCGATATCAAATTCGTAAACGATTTAAGCAGGTCCGTTTGTCCGTATGTCCGCCTGTTTGTGTGTGTGTGTGTGTGTGTGTGTGTGTCCGTCCGCCTGCTGTAAACATCCCCCTGGCCAAAAAAATGAAGTTATCGACTTCAAATTTATTGAAAACATTGGAAATTTTTACACCCAGGCCGGTATTGAGAATGGGCGAAATCGTTCGAAATATGCGTCCACGGTACTATGTAAAGTGAAAATACCTTTGTTTTTCAAAAGGAACAAAAATAGTTTTCTGCTCATTACTCATAAATTACAGCAGATAAGTCTAGAAAAATTTAAAAAGTATATTCTATAGACGATGCCGTAGTACCTGCAGAAAAATGAGAAAAATTGATCTCTTCTACCCAATATAATAGCATAGCAAAATTTAATTTTTTTCAATGTCTTTACAAGGGGCAGAAAAATGCTCCAAGTATATATTCTTAGCGAATTTCAAGTTTGGAATAGAACTAAATACATTAGTTTGTTCGTCTGACCATCTGTCCGTGTCTCCAACTTTGTAGTATTTGTGGTAGACATTCGCCCGTTAGCGAAAATGAAGGTAAAAAACAAAGCTTTGCCAAGGATACGGCTACAGCACCCACAAACCTATCCCCAAAAAAACTCTTATTTTGAAAATAGAGAAAATCAGCTACGCCCACTCCATATTATACAGCTCGAAATAGTTGTTTTTTTTTTACGTCTTTTTAACTCTTTTAGAATAGGACGGGTGATAGGTATAAAAGATTCGATCACATCCGAACACAATTTTCTTACTTATTCCCTATTTTTAACCTAATTTCCCTTTCATTTTGTTGATATCAAAATTCATTTGAAAGAGCCACACAATCATCCGTTAATTATGGGATGACGTTTACCGATTTCATTACAGTCTTGAGGAGATTATCAAAGTTAAAGTTCTCCGGCTATAGTTTTTGGAAGTATGCGCTTTCTGTTTTTGCCTGCAAGTTTTTGGAAATCTCAGTTGCATTTCGAAGAATTTTGAAATTGCATTAATATGCAAAATATACCAGTGGGCGATGACATAACTAGGGGGGAGTTTGTAAAAAAATGTTTTCTATTAAGACGGCTTAGGTCACTCTCACACTATATCCCGAATGTATATAAATGGTGGGATTAAAATATTGCAATCCAAACGTGATGATGGCCGATGTTCTTACCAGAAACTTGCGAGAGCTAAGGTAGAAAAATCAAGTTAATTAATTTTGTTGAATGTTTGTATAGTTAAGCCTGACTTGCAACGAAGAAATTTAATTGCAGCTGTAATCATGTCAATCTTGATATAATTTTGCCTTCGTTAAGCTGTTCGTTCGCTAATAGCCATTTGCCTAACGTACCGCCGTTTTATACAAAAATGAAATGTTTAACATTAGAAAATGGAGTAAGAAAGTGACTGGTCTCAAGATCCCCCACTGTAAAAAAGTGAATAAAGAAAGACATTGATCGAACATGTTCGTTTTGCAACAAGCACATTAGTTCGTTAAAATACAAGTAACAATATTTTAATACGGCAAGGATAGCCATTAAATACCCTACACCACATTGTCTAACAAAATTCTTATTTTTATATGAAGTTAGTATTATCGGTCAATTTTCATCACCACATGTTAAAACCTAGACTTCTTTGCTCTACAAAGGGACAATTTTCATGAAAAACCTTATTAGAGTGGGATCCAAAAAGTAGGAAGACATGATCCAAATTTGGCACATTTCATTTTTTATGTTAAATTACTATTATGTAATAATTTTTCTTATAAAGCATTGAAAATTATACCTTTTTTGTCGCATGAACTTCATTTTTTGTTATATGAGAGGAGGTTCAAAATTGCCCCCGCCAGTCAAAAGTTTTCATACCAATTTACAATACCGAAATAGTAACTACTTAATCAATTTTTGCCGAGGTATTTTAAAAATTGCAATATTTATCTTGTGGATTGGTCGAAAAAGTTGACCGATCCGAACCCTTTTTCAATAGCTTCCATTCTTGGGTTAAAACAAGTCACTGTACCAAATTTCATAGAAATTTCTCAAAAATTGCAGCCTGTAGCGTGAACATAGGTTTTCTTTAACAGACATCTGACGGACAGACAGGCTTAAATCAATTCAGATAATAATTCTGAATCGATCGTTATAATAAACGTAATAGGTCTATAACATAAGCCTGCCTGCATATTACATATGGCCGCAATAACTTAATATATCTTGCACCACCTTGTGGTGTAGGGTATAACAATATCAATTTATTATTATATACTATTTAATATCGTACACTGGAAAAAAATCTCTTCCCCTCCGTCTAATAAATTCAAATCTATTCAATTACATTCTTCCGCTGATGGCTTAACTTAATTTTGAGTAGTGCTTTGATATTTAAATTTTAATGGAAAACCCGATACACCATTGCCAGCGATTTTCTCTTTATGGATAGATAGATTTTCAATTTATTTGAAAGATGAGGAATAAATTGTGCTGCAATTTTTCAACCGCAATACGGTTGATAGGCTGATTGTCTATTTTTACTTTTAAATGAGAGCCTGCGCCGGGGCACATATGCTAGTGTTGATCTGAGCAAGCTCATGTAGCACAGTCTTTGTAATACGGGGCTGAACGAAATTCTCTTGATCAACGTTCAAAAAAGTCTAATATATAGCTAGCTTTGTTTATGGAGAGTTCAATATGTAAATTGAAACAAAGTTTATTATCGAATAGTACATCGACGACAAAAAGCGAAACTGCATTGTTGTATTTGTGTTATCAATAAGGTATTTCGTTGTGAATGAGTTCCTTCTTCAAAGTGATAGTTTTAAGCATGTCCGACTGTATGTCTGTATGTCTGTCCGTCTGTTGTCCTGGCCGTAGCTATCAATTTCAAATTTGACAGAAACATTGGAAACTTTTGCGCGCAGAATGGTATCGAATATGGCCCAAATAGTTCGAAAGACGCTCCTGAACCAACACGTAAACCGTAAGAAACTGGATTTTTGCTTATTGCCCATGAACTGTAGCAGGAAAATGTACAAAATCTTGAAAGCATAGTCTATGGGCTATGCTGTAGTACCTGTACAAGTATGAATAAAATTGACCACGCCTACCAAATATTATAATGTGTCATAAATTAATATTTTTTTTCAACATCTTTATAAGCCGTAGAAGCAAGCTTCAGGAACCATATAAAATGTATAAATTCTTGGCCAGTTTTAAATTTGGAGTGCATCTAAGCATCTCTATCGGTTCGTCCAACTGCTTCAACTGTGCAGCTGAAGATGTCGTCTGTAAAATTGCAAAAGAATTTAGATGCTTTTTAAAGGACACGCCTACAATGCGCCCAAACGCCTATGCGACAAAAATTCTTATATGGAAAATAGAAAAAACCAGCTACGCCCATCCAATATTATACAACATGAAAATTTTTTTTAGTTTAGGATAACAATGCTGAGTATAAGAGATTCGGTCATCACCGAATATAATTTTCTTACTTGTTTTTTTTTTTTATAAATGTAACAAAGTATCCTTTAAAAACACGTTTAAATCGAGCAAATATTATTCTGAAATTTCAGAAAATAAAATAATTTTTAAGATTTTAATTATCTGCCATCTGTTGTTGATAAAATTTTGCGGAAAATGTCTTTACCTAGCAATAACATGATGGAGATGCATATTCGGTCTAAGCCGATGGGCAGACGACAACGGGCTGGTGATGAGAATTCAGAAGAGTCAGTCGGGTAAATTTGTTTGCGTATATTGCGTATAATTAATTACACATTTTCCAATGGCTTTTTTCACTGTCAGGTTCTTCTTTGCTTTCGTGTATTTTCTGAAAGCGTTCATGGGCTGTGGTATTTACGTTGCTCCTGTTTCAGTTGCTCTTCATGACAACCTTCTTTGGGGCATTTCTGGAATTGTGTTTAGTCATCTGTTAACTGCATTGTGTCTCTATATACTGGCAACTAATAACACGGGAAGTAAAACATATCCCGAGTTTGTAAAGACGACATTTGAGAATGGCACTGGATGTTTCCGGAAAGCAAGCACAGTCTTCAAGATTTTCATTATAATATTCGGATTCACGTTTTCAATTTGCGTCTGCAGTCTTTATCTAAGCTTTATTACAAGTCATATCTGCCAAGTTATAACAAAGAATACTTCATCAAATCATAATATAGATTTCCGTTTGTTGACTCTCATTTTGGCGCTTATTTTAATCGTTCTCTGCTTTATGCCAATATGGAGTTCATTAGCTATTTACATATTAGCTATAATCGGGTTAATATTCCAACTGCTCGCCATTTGTATAGGATTTGTTTATCTTTTTAATGATACCGGTAACCGAACATATGGAGACACAATTCCTTTGGAAAATATGCTTTTGTATAATAGCTATGTTATATATGCAAGCGAGGGAATCAATTTATTTTTTCCCATAATTGCTGCTACGGAAAAAACGGACAGGGCTTTGGTCAGCTCCACTTTGGTATGCGCTGGAATGAAAACACTGGCAGTGTTCGCACTATTAGTTGGCGGCGCAGGTGCTTCCAAAATCTATAGTACAGACTTCTTCATTTTTCTTGGGACGCCGACCACGACGTAAGATTGCGATTGAATTATACAACTTCTGTTTGATGCTAATCGTCATTGTTTCTCATTTAAATATGCAGCCTCGGTCAAATTAGTAAAATTTTCGCCGCGATAGGCATATTTTTCACATATCCCTTACAACTCAATGCGGCCTATCATTATATAGTCGACGAGCTGCACATAGACAACAAAGATCTGATTAAATACGGTCTTCGTGTCTTATTAATGGTACGTATAAAATACATTTCAAAAAATCAAAGATCGAATTGACTCGCAACGATTCAATGCCTAAGTACGCCCCCTTGATTTGTAAAAAGAAGGAAAAGATGTAATGCGCAGGTATACCTAGAACAGAAGATTTTAATCTCTATTTAATACAATAAGCATCAATTAAGATAGGAAAGGCTTTCGCTGGGGTTAGTTCAGAGAGGGAGAGGCAAGAAGCCGAATCTGAGTAACAACAAAAAATTTATATTTGGAAAACATTAAAAATTGGGTGCCAGTGAGGGACATTGGATCTAAGGCTCTCTGCACGGCCTGCAATGTGGCCAGTGCAAGCTTTCTTTTAATCTATTTATCACTAATTAATGAAATACATAAGGGTTTTTAGAAAAATTTTGCGTTTTACGCAATCATTACCGAAAAGCGGGTACAGACGGATAGGCAGTTATACCCGTCGTGTTTTTACAAAAATGCATTTAAAGTCTTCAAATGTATTGCATCGTCTTAATAGAGTAATTTTTGGTATTGTGTTTTCTCTTAATCTGCGATCGGAACACATTTAATCGCCTTTTCGTGCTCAGTAATGCTCCCCAATTCCAGTCCTCAAAGAAGATTTGCGAGAAATTGTGCCTTTTGCTGAGTCTGTTAAAGAGTTACACGCTTTTTGTAAGTTACGTGTTACGGACTGACAGAAAAAATGTGTAGATCCTAAAGTCTACGTCATAATGATATCATTTCGCAGGAATTCGCAATTAGTCTTTTCAGTGCGGACGCTTGAGGAAAAGCCGGGAAATTCGAGGACAATTTTTTTGTTTGTAGAATCCATAAGCTTGTTCAAAGCGACTATTAAGTCAATAAGAAATAAATATTTTGGGAAAATTATATCGCGCTATATTACACTTTAAACGAGATTGTTCACCATCCTACTTAACACGTTCGCAAATCGTAGAGATCTTATCAAGAATATCAGATATGACTTGACCCCACCCACATAGAAGAGGTTGTACCGGTTATATTATACTCTATTTTTAGCAATCCTAATCCACTAAATGGCAATTCAATAAAAACCCAGAAATCCTTAACAGAGCCTAAAAAGGAATCGCGGGTCGGTTGCGTCTCGTTATCGCCTTAAAAACACTCAATCTTCGCGTATACTTTTCTCGCTTGGATTCACTTAGAATGCCTGTCGATTGTTAAAGTCATTACAAGCGCAAAAAACCTTTTCTTTCTTTTTTAGGGGTCTGACAGTCAGAGCTTCTATATCAATCGAAACATTATTTATTCTGTCTATATGTCTGTTTACATAATTTGCTTTAGCTGCTTACTCTTGTGCTTGCGATGATTTCTCCTTTTCACTTTCAATATATCATGGGATTACTTGGTTCATTATGTCTAAGCGTTTTAACATTAATTGTGCCAGGTTTGACAACATTCTGCACTAAAAACTATGGAAAAATATACTGGATGGGCATAGTAGCTGTAATTGCACTTATAGAGGGAATCATAACATTTATTGGCAGCACGGGAAAGAATATTATCGAATGGAGTTGCGCCGATAGTTCAAATTACGAGATATATTGCTAAAAGCGAACAATTTTGATTTAAAATAAATTTTTAATTCCTGCTAAACTTTATTTAAATAAATAAGAAATTTTAAATTTATAAGCTTTATTTACGCACGACCCAAGGTATTCACGAAATAAAGTCGGTTTATGATAAAATTATTATGATTTAATTGATTGAAGATCGATTTGGCACAAAAATGTTTCAAAATGTTTTAGATAGGACAAGAATCCTAAAGGCAAGACGCGAAATTTCGAAACCTTCGACACCACGCCGACCTTAGCGTCCACCGATGCCGTTCTTTTTATCTCGGTTGCCCGGCTTGTTGCCTATTGTGTGGAAATACATTTTGGGTACATGACTAGTCTTCAGAAGTGTGCAGGTAATCAGTTTATCATTCCTGCTCACCAAATTTTTCTTGCTTTTTGTGCTGCTCGATCTTATCATCAAGGCTATATTGTATATGAATACTGAATAGGGTTGCTCACTTACTGCTCACGTACAAATTTTTTCTTCTCTAACTTCTCTAAAGCATTATATGGGAAAAATTGGAACGAACGTGGCGTCCTAAACTAAAACGTATAGTATGGAACACATGTACGAAAAAACAGCATAGTCGCTCCATAAGAAAATCGTTTGAAATAATTATACTGCCGATCGCACTTTCCATCCGTGCAAAGTCTGAATACTCATGAACTGGCATACGCGTCCGAATGATTTCAATTTATACTTAACACTTTAGTTTAGTTTAGAATTAGAAATTTTCTGCAGTGCAAGGCTTCTGCAGTTTTCGGGCCGATTCAAGATTATTTGCATCTCTCCTTAAAAGCTCGATATTTATTATCAGTCTGCAAGACAGCTTCATCGACTTTTACCTTCTATGAATGTTACGTCATTTTCAAAACAATAACTGATCAGAGTGAGTGAGGCTGCTTAAAGGAAGAACAAAGTACAGTTTTCATCGAATTTTCCTTACAGTTTAATCAGTCAATGTCCACTGCAGACCACTCTTTCTTTATTTCTGTAGGAAAATCCATCTTTTCTTCTGATCTCACCTAATCAAGCATGGAACCCACATTTTAGGGATGATACAGAAGAGTATACAGTTGTTTAAAAAGTAAAACTAAGCGAAGGATCGATCTTAATCTTTTATTTTCAAGAGTTTACACTAAGGCACTTAAGACTAGAACTACCAAGTATGTAATTTTCATGCTTCTCAAGCATTAAAAAAAATGTTCATACGGCAGTAGGCACTGTTCCAAATGTTTTTGTTTAATATGTACTTTTTGACTCGCGATTTCAAAGGATAAAAAAACCAGTTGAATGTAACACGCACCACATGAAACGGTTGACAAAAGACTAACTGAATCTTCATCTATGCAGTGAAAACAAAAACTCGTGTCTTTCCGTGACTTATCGTGGGTAAATACGAACAATAGATTCGGCCTACGTAGCTGCATTGGAAGTTAGTTATGACTCTACCTTACAGATGACCTAAAGTCTGCAAAATTAAAAGCAAAATATCGGCTTCTCCCTGAAGTTGCTTTAGTAATTTTTAGCTGGACATGCACCCGTTACGTCTAATGACGAAAAAAGCGGCTGTTAACCAAGACTGAGTTAGAAAAGAAGTTGTGAGGGCTTTTGTCAATTTCCTGGTGCTGGGGTATGTTCAGCGGCACCAGGCTCTGACTCATAAGAATTTTATGTTCTCTTTGTTTAAAGTTTTCACTTTGTTTATTCATTCTCTCATTCATTCGCCAGAGAAATAAATTCTAAGACTAAACTGTTAAAAGCACTAGCATCTAAGGCTATCGGCTTCCGGTAGATTGATTAAAGCTATACGCTTATTACATTCCATTGCCTTTTTGCAACCTTATATATCCCAAGCAGAAACGTCTCTTTCTGACTGTGGTTTCCTTAACTTCCGTCGTCCGTCTGGTAGTTTACTTAATCCTATTCTTAACCGAACTTAGCCTAGCTTCCCCCTCGGAGACGAAGAACCTGTGAGGCCAAAACGAGGGACGATTTTGGATCCTTACAAAGTTTAATGCGTTCACAAAAATTCGCATTAGCTTTGAAAATGTCAATAGGTATCGTCACCTGAAATATAGCGCTCTTTTAGAGAATTGGACGTTGCACGCATTCAGTTCGTGCGATAAAAATTATATATGTATCCCTTTGCATTCGTGAGATGCATAATATTTTTAATCACAATTTTGAACGCAAGCGTAAAAAATAATTAATTTATTAATAAATAATTAAATCATTAGAACATAATTTTTCATATTTAATATTTTTTTTTATACTTTACAAACTTTTCATGCACATATATATTCAAAAATGTATTTATTACTATATTAAAAAGCTTGATGACCTACGTATTAATATCAGCTCTCGTCTGAATGGAAAGATCTGTTTCAGTTCTATCCAAACTCACTGAAGACCAGTGAATTAAATAATTTCGTAAGCTTCTTAAAGCCAAACAGGTGTCACTATCGACTTGCGAATCAAACAGTTCTTTATCGTATTCCTGGACTTTAGAACACTCTTGACCGCCGAACGTAAAAATTGCTACTAAAGGTAAAACTAATTTATCAAAATATTTCTCCGCGCATACCAAAAGCTGTTGCAGATCTTTTGTGGACAACGTTAAATACTGGTCTTTTTCGTTGGCCGTTTTACCCATAATATTCATCAATTTGGCGAAACGCGACAAAGATATACGTGACGATAGAAAAGGCAAAAGTTGAATAATGATTTTATGAATTTCTTTTTGAAGGTATAGAAAATTGTGAAATTCCCGCTGCTGCACTTTCAACGAATACCAGAGATTATTGAGTATACATATAACACCTTCGATAACGTCAAACTGATGAAATTCTATGCTCTGTACAATAGTACTTAGCCAGGGGAGTAGGCCAACGTTCTCAATCAGCAGTTTACACGCGGAGGGTATTTTAGCACAAGTAGAAAATAGAACTAATATAAGCAAATTAAGATCCAGCGTTGACATGGGCGCGTTATAAAAGACCATAAGAACTTTTAATGTATTCGTCGATATCAAAAGAAATAGATCAGAGTTGCATTTGACACCGTGCACGATTATTTCTAGAATGAAACGTCTATACTCTTGATGTTCCACCTCCGAAGAATAAAATAAAACATTAAATTCAGGTATACATTGAAAGTTAAAGCTCTGCTTAAGCCTGAGATACATGGTAAGTTGTTTGTAGAGACGATGAGTGGGTTCAGTAGTTATATTGAAAGTCTTTGCCACAAACAGGGTGGGGATGTAAGGGACCCGCGGTGTCCCCCGATTAGTTTTATTTGTTAGCCAGGCACTACGTAACTCGTCCAAACCCGATTGTAAGTTCTCGTAAGCTTGAATCCAGAAGGGTTTTTCAAAGAACTTGCTTTGTTCGAAATGAGAGCGATAACGTAATTGTACACAACCTGCGGCCAAACGCATTTCTCGATCCTGCGAGGAAAGGGCGGCAAAGCTTAACGCTAATAAACCATTTTGCACGGGTCGAGCAGGATGAGCCGAGGAACCAGGAGCAAAACACAAAGCCATCAAAGGTATCATAAAGGCAGGATCATAGCACTGATTGTAAATTTCGTTACGCTTGAAACACAAGCTTAACTCGGAAGCAGAAAACTCTACATCTCCTGTTTCAATTTTCTTTTCCACGTGAGTACCACCTTCGAAAAACCATAGGCGATTTAAAGGATTTTCAAATATTAACTCCGGTAATTGTTGCAAAGGGTTCAATTTACGCCATATAGGAAAATTTTCCAAAGTATATTCGCATATCTGCGGATCAATTAAAGACATAATTTGACTCATTGTTGTCTCTGCTTGTTGCAGCTTCAAATGATCATCCTTTTCGTTTAATGCGTAGAATGTTGATGCCGTCTCACCCCAAACAAACGGTTTAAACTGCTGGATTTCTTGGGGTAATTGAATTTCATAAAGATTTAATAAAGCCAAAGCGAAACGATCACTTTTGGACAGACGGGCATGATAAGCAGACAGGATTAAAGGGACTTGGTACGCATCAAGTCCTGCGGGGCATTCTTTTGCCAATACATACAATAACTGCAGAGTAGCTGCTTTTTGCTCTCCATTAATCGAACTTGAAATAATTGTTTGAAATTTCGAATGCTCAAAAATCATTGAAAATAGTTGCGAAAATTCTATGGAATTTAAAACTTTTTGATCATCTTTCATTAGGTAGTCACATAAGCACGATAAAAGCTGAAGGAGTGAGGCCTTAAATAGTTCATTATCCGAAAGTTCTGTTTCATTAATCTCCATGCCCTGTTTTAGACAAATTTTACAAAACTGTTGCCATTGTGTGGATTTAACGATTTTATCAGAATCTTTCGCAGTTAGTTCTTGGGAAACGCTAATCCATTTTTGCAACAGAAAACCAATAAGTTGTAATTTTTCATAGGTTAAGTTTTGCACTTTTAAAGCGCCTAAAGACATTGAAATCATTAGAGAAATAAAATTGACAACAATTGCAGATTGTTCGGGGGGCTCAGATGACGTTTTGAAAGCCTTCGTGTAAATGGCATCGATCAGTTGCAATTGATAACTTTCGACGCCGTCAAATTTAAATTGTTTTCGGCAGAAATCGCGACATTCCGTAGCAGGCATGCCCGATTCTATCAATTTTTTGCTGATCTCAACATGTTCCTTGTATATCTGGGCGGCTTTAGAAGGCTTTTCAATAGCACGCATAAAACCCGCTTTAAAAGTCAAATACACTTTTTGTAATATTTTCGAGTCCAGTGTTAAATTCTTTGCCATTGCTTCTTCTAGCAGAGGATACATTAATTCTTTTCTTTCTAATTGCGGTAAAGTTAGATAGGGGAGAAGGCACTCCTTAAGTAAATCGTTACGTTGGTAGATTAAACGGGCCAATTTAATACGTGGCTTATTCGTGTTCCATTCCGTTGAAAAAAAGCAAGCAAAGAGCTTTTCATCCATATTCTTAAGATATTGATGATTTATTAGCAGAAATCTATAGAAAGCAATCTCCAATTGCTCCAAATTCCTTAAATCCTGAGGAAGCTTCTCATGAAGTTCTTGATAAATTTGCACAAATTTTTTGATAAATTCCTTGCATTCCACCGCTTGTTGCAATTCCGCTAAACGTTCCAGTGTAAAAGCTAGCACGAAATAATAAATAGTAAAGCTAGGCGGTTCCAGCATGAAAAGATCTTCACAATTTATGCTTTCAGCAAATAAATTTAACAAATCGATGCAGTGTTTCTGATCTAATTCGAAAACTTTCAACAGCTCGAGAAAGTCTTTCAAGCGATTTGTGTTTACTTTGCTTAAATCCTTACAGCGCATGGAAATAGCGACTGCATTAATCAGCTTTGATTTATAATTTCTGGTATACGTATGAAAATTAACCAAATTTTTGCAGTAATCAGTCATTTGTTTTAAGAATCTTATGTAGTTGATGTTACTTTCGAAAGTCTCCAATAAATCTTGACCACTCATTTGATTCAAACGTACGCCGTAGATGTATTTCAATAGTTTATCCGTTAAAATTTCACCTTCTGCTCGCTTACGCTCATCTGGCGACATATAACTTTCAATTGATTTTAAAGCTTTGGTAATAAATTCTGCCGCCTTTTCCGCCTGTCCGCTGCTGAATGTTTGTTTTTCCCTTAACTGCAAAACTTGAAATATTATCACTTGAACATAAATCATAAATAAATGTTCATCGTTGGGTTGATCCGCCATTAAATTCTCAAAAGTGCTGCTGCTCTCTTCGTGAATGTAAGCGGAGACGTCGGACATTTTCGGAATAACGCTGCATTTAAATATGTCTAACTTAAACGCCTTTCCCTCACGCAGAATTCGTTTCATATGTTTTGCGAGTACTACGAACTGTGTTTCGCATAATGTTGCCACTTCTAGAGGATTTGTGTGGTAAAGAAACAAAAGCAGAAAAACGGATTCCAGATAATTGCCTAGAGGTTTCTCAATTTCAACACCTTTGCAAATCAAATGCATTAGTTTACTCAAAACCAATGTTTCCACATAGCTCTGCACAGATAAACCGGCTTCAATGTTTTTAAACAGTTGTTCCAAATTTTCAATATTCGTTATTGTCTGGGTAACTTTCGGCATTTCAACATTGGCTTTAGTCACCTAAAAAAAAAAAAAAAAAAGAAGCAAAATAAAATGTGCATAAATAAAAACCACATAAGAAAATTATCTTCAGCAGCAAGTAAAAACATATATACTGGGGAACGTACCACCGTTCAATACCCTACACTACTCTAAAGTTACTTAGTCGACTCTAAAGTCAGTAAGTAGTCGAAAATACTGTCCGATCTGAACCATTTTCAACAGAGTTCGTCCTTGAGCTAAAACACGTCGGTGTTCTTAATTTCGTCCAAATATCTCAAAACTGCCAAGGTTTATGTGGACCACAAGGATAAAAGACGGACAAATAAATAAGATAAGCTTAGATGAATCGCTCGGTTTAATAAAATCTATGTCTATCTCAAGTTCTTCTCGACATTTTACGCTTGCGTACAAAACTTAATATAGCCTCGACTTACAGGTTTGAAGAATGGAGTCATTCTTTCCGTACAACAGACAAAAAAATAATTGATTTACTGATCTCATGTTTTAAACAATAGTGTTATTATTATTATTGTATCCTATGCCACTTCATATACTTTGTTGCGCGGAGTTTTTTCATATATTTTGTTACGGCTCGAGGATACATTAAGTTTGTGTCGATGTGTCCAATGTGTGCAAGGACTTGCGACAGACCTACTTTTTATTATACCGATCGATTCAAAATCATTTTCTGACTTAATTGAAATGTGTCTGTCCGACTGGTCACTCTTTTCTGTTGTATACAGGACGCAATTTTTTGTTACTTTACTGAAATTTAAATAACGTGTCCGCCTAAGTGGCTAAGTAGACAACAGACTCAATGGTCGTGGTTACGTCATGTGTCATGTGCGGTAGAGTTTTTAATAAAGTCGAAAGCCTTAGATGCTAGTGCTTTAAGACCATAGTCTTAGAATTCATTCTCTGGCTAAATTTATATTAATAATAGTAATAATAAAATAACGTAAGTGGTGCAGGTCACAAAAAAAAAAAAAGAAAACCAAATTAAGTTCGAAAATTATTTAAGTCGGACCAAAAGTGCGTTGTCAGCGTAACAAGTTTCATTAAAACATCTCAAAAATTGCGGCCTGCCAATTGAACTCGAGAAAACAAGATAGACAAACAACACGCTTAGGTCGACTCAGGCAGTGATCTACCGATATAATAAAAGATTAGTCTGTTTCAAGTCCCTCCGAATATTGCATACATTCCGCATCAATTTAAGATACCCATATACCATAAGTGGCAGGGGATATTGTATGGCCAACTTTTTTCACTTTTATGCAGTTATTGTAAGATCACATATAGAATATATAATATATAGAAAATTTTCGTGTTATATGTAATTTAGAAGTGATGAGTAAAAAGCTTAATTATTTTTGCTTTTGAAAGCAAAAATGTTCTCAGTTTGTTTTGCAACATAGGCGCCTTCATTGACCCGCTTCTCCCACTTTCAATGTCAAGACGATATTTTAACTTTTGGCAGCGCAAATATGTTTATCACAAGTGGTTGCGCAGACGGACATGCCTAGATCCATTCAGAATTATATCTGAATCTTCCTGTCGGCAAAATGAACACAACACGGTCTCTCGATGGGAAGTATAATTGTAACGTACAACGTCAGGTTTAACGCTATATATTTTTTTCTATATACAACGAGTAGCGCATGCATCTTTTCCGGCTTCGATTGTCTCGGATAATTATTTCAGATTTAACGCGTGCTCAAGTCAGAGATGAAAAGACATATATGCGAAAAATAGAAAAATTAAATGGACATCCTGGTAAGGTATCAAGGATTGCAGATGCTTTAAAGGAGAGAAGCAGACGGACGTTTTGGGTCCCTTTTATGCTGTGCCTATAACCGCGAATATGTTACGTAACCTACACATAAATCTAAATGCATTCCTCGTTACGATGGTATATAGTGAGATAGTTTTTAAGGAACCAATTTGTCTCTAAACTATGCAAGACGTATCATACAGATTTATATATCCCTTATTTCGAAAATAATTTTGTAATTCAAAATGTTAATTATGACTCTTTGCTCACCTTTAGGACTTCTGTGAAAACCTGGCTTACAACATGGATAGTCTCTGCCGCACAATATTTCAAAGGTTCCAGCCACAAGTCTATTTCTAATTCGCCAGCGTGAAATATACCAGTATTTCTAAAAATATTTCGCAGTAAATTGCCAGCTTCACAACTAACTTGCTGCGAACCGTAAACAAAAGCTTTAATAAAGGATTGCATAATACTGGCAAAACGTTCTTTTTGTGGTTCCAGATCTTTCGGACTCAGTATTAATATCGTTTTAATAGCTTTCATTTCTAACTGAATATTTGAGTCCACGTGATTAACGTTATCATCATCGCTACCGGTGTAAAGCGGTCTCAACAATTCCAAATAATCCAATATTATGGAGGTTTTATTGACAAACGTGCGGTTATCTTGGCAAATGGCTAAAACCAAATCCAAAGTGGTATCCAAGTGAGACAAAACGTCTACTCCATCTTCGTGTTGTTGTTCAATGGAAATATTCAGCGATGTTAGTATATCTTCTACTGTAGGAAAATGCAGTAGCAAATGATTCAATATATCGAATTTGAATTTACGTAATGCGCTTACACTGCCACTACGATTTACTTTTGTTTCGCGTTCTCCAATGGCTCTTATCCAGTTCGTGTATTGGACGAACATTGTCAAAAGTAAACGATTCGTTATCAGACGTGCCTCAAATTTTTCCTCATATAGTAGTTTGGAGCCTTTTATGTGTACTAAGGTCTCCATAGGTAGACATATATCTTTTATCCAATGCGTCAGATCGGTAAGTGTGGTTTTTCCCACATCCATATTCAGTAAGCTAGGATTGCAAGCATCTATGATTTTGATAAGAAACTCCACGACCGACTTGTAGAATTTACGACCATAACGCAAAGGATTTATGATTCCAGAAAAATTACGAACGGTATGACGATATAAATCGGGACAAGATTGCAAGATTTTAATAATTAATTCGGATTTCAAGGCACTCGACCAAGGATAATGAATGGCTGGCATCAACTGACCTATAAAAATACAACACAATAACAAGACAATTTTTAAAAAGCTTTTTACATTGTTTCAGCCCAATTTAATACTAGGTTTACCATGAATTGGTATATACTTAGCTCTACCAAAATAGATCAATTTGAGCCATAACTTTTGTGGAGTCCCCATACTCGCAAAAATGAAGATAGAAAATTTTAAAATTGCAAAAATTTTACAAGTTGGAAAAACGGGTGTGATCTCTTTACATACGCCTGCTGCCGCCATATGGAAACATTTAACACAACAAAAATGATGGCTCACATTGACCTATTTTGGTAGAAGCAGGAAGCGGAACCTTGGAAGGTAGACCTGTTTTAAAAAAGAATTAATAATATATTAGTTGTTTGCGAAAATTTTGACCAGTGACATTAATAGGTAAAAATTATAGAGAAGTGGGAAACATCAATGTACACTCATTTCCCCATTTAATAATATTGATTTATTCAGCTTACGCCGATGCTAATCATGGAGCGTTCAATAATCCTCTTCTTTCAAATTCTTCACTTTTGTTGTTTATTTGAAGACATCTGCTTCCGAAACCCATCAAACACTTTCAGAGGGTTATGATGGTGCTGCTCCACCATATTCCGATTGCCGGTTTGATTTAAAAACCGCGGTTCGAATTGACTGAAAATGCCATTTCTAGGCCACTTATTGCAAGAGTTGTCTAGGATACACTGTTGCAGCTCGAACGGGAAGTTCTGCCAAAATTCTGCGTACTTACAAGACAGGACGCCTCCTGACTACCACTTGTTCAGATCGGTGAAGCATGACTTGACCGGCATGCAAACTTGAAGATGTGCGAAAATGGGTCGTTGGATAGATCGCTGCCAAAACAATGTAATTTCTTTCGCCAAAGATATCGTAAAATGTTGTCGAAAATGATATTGTACCGATTTTCCATAATAAACGCCCTTTTCCAGCAAAAAACGATCAAAATTTTTGCAAATACCTAATATATTCAAAACTCAAGTGCAGTACAAGCAAGCATATGATCTAAGTTCCCGGCGACTTTGTTACTTTGTCAATTTCTTTACAAGTAAATAAACAATAAATGGATAAATATATTTATAAACTTTTTCATATAAATAAGAGCCATAAAAATATTTGGGAACCATCTTACATGGCTTATAACCATTTTTCATAAGTTCTAATTGATCTGCTGATAAATATAGTGTTAACTTCTCTTCCACTGAAATAAATTGAAAAATTTCTTACCTTGTATAGTATTACGTTTGTGTTGAAAATATTTCCTGCTATCGAAACTGATACCATATTTCCTGGACGTTAATAAGACCAACATAAAGTCGTGTATTGCTTTTTCTACTATTTCACGTTCATTTACATTAATTAACTTTTCAATATCACTGTGCAATAGTTTAGGTTGCTTTGCTCCTTTTATAACATTTCCTTTCGCAGCCAATACTTTAGGACCATACCAGTCATATAGTTTCACCAAAGACTTGCAGCAATTCAAATCGAAAACATGAATTTTTGTAGTTTTTGATATTTCTAAACATTCTAAAACGAATTGCTTCACTGTAGTTAAAACCATACAAACGGTAGTTGCGTCATCGTACAATAGTCCATTGATCAAACATTTAATCAAATGTCTTTTACATAAAATGTCGCGAATCAGCAGAATATTTCCATCAACTAAAAAAGCCAAAACAAAGTGGATAAAACATTTGCGCACAGTGTCCGAATTTTCTTCTCCTTGTTGTTTCAATTCTGCATGCAGATGTGAAAGAAACTGATCCACATTTACATTGTTTAGTACATCAAAGGATGTTAAAATATGTCTCCCTAGCTTTGGTTCCGCGCAAACAATGGCAGTTAATAATTTTAAAGCCACACGTCGGTGTTTGAATTGCGGCGATTTTAGTAATAATTCAATGCAAGTCGAATGCGTTTTCAAGAAATAGCGACATGCATGAACCGCTGATTCCAAGTGCTGCCGTTGATTTCCCAAAATTTCCAATAAAATTAAATGCAAAGCTTCACAAACAAATCCTACATGTAAGACATTGCTTCTATCAACGCGCTCTATGGCCTGCGCCATTTCCAATGGCTTACCGGAGCCTTCCAAATATTTAGGGACGATTTCTGGTGCCAAATGCAAAAAGTGACGTAACTCTGAAAATATGCAAAATTTATATTTTTACAATTTACCACAGCAGAGCGCGCTTTTACCTGTTACAAAATTATCGCCCCGTAATTTGATGCGAAAACTCGACATTTTAAGTTTTTTTTTAAATTTGATTTCCTCCTCTTCGGCTGGGTCAACGTTTTTAGTATTCGAGGAAGTTTCATCCGTTTCCTCTTTGAAATTGTGATCATCCTTATCGTTATGTGTCTTTAAAGAATGTTTGGACTTTTTTTTCGGTACATGATCGGCTTCGCAGTTATCATTTTCTGCGTTAGAAATATTTTCATGTTTTCTTTTGCGTTTATTTACTCCAACAGCCATCTCATCGACTGTAAGGACTTTATAAAAAATGTGATACTTTTTTTTTGGATGTTCAGTTAGGATGGATTAAAATGCGATTACAATAATTTCAATAATTTCACAGTCTTAAGAATTTTCATAAATTATTTGCACGTGGAAAATACCATAAATAACAATACGACAACAAACAAAACAATGCCAGACAGAAAGATTATGAAAAACAGTTTGCCGCGTGTAAATAAAATAGAAAGGAAAAATCGTATATAAGTAGAATGGGGCGGATTTACAAATAATGCAATAAACACAGGGTACATCATGTAGATTAAGAAGAAGAAATCAATGGATTAGGATTTAACGAATTTAAATTAGAAAAAGAAGCTTCTCCCATGAAGATATTCTACGGACTGAGTGGCTAAGCGCTTCGTTTTAATTTCAATTTTAACAAAACGGCCAGCATAAAATGAGAATAACATGCAATTGCTCTTTTATTTCTCTCCACCTCTTAAAAAAATATATGACCAGCAAGAGAAAAACCGATAAAATATATGACCAGCAAAAGAAAGAAGGGTAAAATATATGAACAGTAGGAGTAAGCTAAAGAAGTTAAATGAATTTATATGAAAATTGAAATATTAATGTGAAAATCAAAGTCGAAATATGATTATTTGTATTTTTAAAACAAACGGATCAACATGAAATTTTCCGTAGCTGCGTAGTGTTAGCTCTTCTCAATCTTCTCAAGTCAATGTATGGGTAATTGTAGAGTGATGCGTGATACTTAATGGTGGGATGTGTCACACTATAATATTTTTACTTGCTTAAAATCGTCCTTTATTTTGGTCGTTGATAGCCGTTGTAAAAAGCAAAGAATTTTACCAGATCAATTATAAAAAAAGGGCCGCTAGCGAAATTTAAGTTTGATATGAGAAGATGAAATATTTTCTTGTAGAGTAAACGTATAACAGTTCCTTCTTTGTATTAAACGCCGACAATTATTAAATACTCGCTTCATATCCTCGCTGTCTATAGTGAAAGGGTTGTCTTTGCGATGGTATATATGTTCTAGTTGAGTAAAGCTTTTATGTGTGATGGCCCTAAATTATTTGAAATGTTTATGAAATGTTAACTTAGGAATTATTCCTTCTCAATAAAAATCTGGCAACACTAGGACAGAATATATTGTGTGTTTAATAATTTTGGCTCTTTATATATTTGTGCATTTAACAAATAATAGGAAAATTGGATTTTTGCTCTTCGAAACAATATAATCGGAACGTGAAATTATTCTGAATCCTTTTTCAGCTTACTGCAAAGTGCAAAAGAAAGTAAAATAAGATGTTTACAAATTATGGACAAAAATAAAACAAAATAAAATTTTGTTTTGATTAATTTAAAGCTAACTCTAGCGCTACCTTTCCAAATAATTCAATAATCAAATTAAACGGAATCAGTGAAATAATTCAGATAGAATAGTAAGTATACGATATGTGGCTAGCTTGGCTTAATTAAAAATTTGGGACATTTTAACATGAGGTTGACGCCAAATCGTGAATTAGAAAATTCCACAATTTCATTATAAATTTGCTGATAAGAACGAGTCTTGGCTTATGGTTGAGAGATGTCAGCAAAAAAAGCTAATTCAACTTTTTTTTTACATTTTCATTTAATATTAAATTTAGTACGTGCGCAAAACAAATATATTTCGAATTTGTTTCACTTTTGAGTTATGCATACGAAATGTGTTTACCTTGGCATTCTTTTAAAGAAATTTCAGTTCATTCAACTATTACTTTGCAGGGCTAATCGTTACGCGAGTTACACGTTATGCACATGCTACGTTACTCGGCTAGGGAACTATTAAGTCTATACACGTCCTTAATCAAAAAAAAGGCACTGGATTTGTTCTTTAAATTGCATTAGCAGATGCACAGATGCAGAAAAGAAAAACAAAATATACATCTTCTTGTCTTGTTTGCTTGTTGCTTACACGATTGCAGTCGTAAAAATTGGAAGTAAAAATTGAATTTTGGCATTTAAAAATAATTCACTTGAAGCAATATTTAAGTTTGAAATGTCCAATTACGTTTACTCCGTCTTCCATATAAAGCAAAATTTTGATACGATAATGTGAACTTTACAGCGATAGGGTGAAATTGGATTCCATTATCCAGTATTTACACTCCGTTACGCATACAGGCACAAAACTGCTTAAAGATATTTTTCAATTGCTTATGAAAAGCTAATATAAATATTGTCACGATCTGAGGGGTCAATTTTTACACATTAGTGAGGTAATAGGCATTAAAGGTAATATTCAAGGTGAATATGATTTGTTTAGTTTACGTGGAGCAATTTACGTAAATATGTATGTATTTATGTTTACTTGCATAAATATTACAATTTAATAGAACTTTTTAGCAAAATTTTAATTGAATTGCCTCTACTATACATAGTATCACATTACATGCGCAAGCATTCGATGTTGTTAATCTTGGTCGGTGATCGTTTATGATCGCGTAATTTCATTTACTTGCTATTATTGTACAATTGTCATATGATGACTTTCATGTGCTTAAGGCGTAGTTCAGCGTGCCTCAGCTTGACTTCATAGTCTTGTTTTTGAATCCCACAAGTGGCAAAAAACTGCAATACATGAACAGCTTTTAAAGCGAGCTTACACGCGGTGTAGATCGATTGATGGACGCATTGAAGGAAATATTTGGTGAGGATTTTTGTATCTCATTTCATTTGTTTCAATTGCAGCTAACTTAGGCGAATACGGAAAGAGTTATAGTCTATAGTTTATTTATTTAGAAAGCTGCTTAGTTACAAAAGAAAATCATTTTTTTATAGAAGATAAACGAATGCAAAGGCGAGTAAAATGCAGTGGATAATCATTGCATTATCATTCGAAACTTTTGCTTGAATAACGAATGTATGGTTTTAGTTTTGACGACGCCTCAAAAAAGTATCGTTTTTATGAGCAGGTTAAAACCCTTTTTTTCTATGCTTGGGGAATTCTTATTTTACTGAAAGGTGTGGAGATGTGGTGGTTAGCGATGGCCAATGGTTTTTATTTGCTCCATTTTTCCCCAGCTTTAGAAAAAAATCAGCAAGATTTTCACGTGCCTAACAAAATATTTTGTTTGAAGATAAATTAATACGTTAAGAACTTATTTTAGTTATGTTTGGAATCTGTCGATGTAGAAAGAGATAGAAAGATTTTATAAATCGCTGCCCATTTACCGCCTTTACATATCGTGTTCTCAAGTCTGGAAAAAGAAAATTGTCTGGTGTATTCACGTGGTATTTCACGTCTGCTTTCACTTTGCTGATCGCAATAATGGGTGTATACAGTGTTGTTTTGTTTCGAAGCACCATTTTTGTTGGTCAAACTCGGTCGGCTTTTCTTGATTTCATTGCTTTTGCTTTTCGAAGGCAAATTTGGGTAGCAACAGAAACCCCAGCAGGATATGAAACATCTTCGGGGCACTTTCCGTTTCCTTGAGAGCAAACCCGATATACTAATGCGAAGAGCTTTCCCAGGTCAAAATATTCAGTTAAGGTCAGTGTATCTTCCCTGTTGTAGGTGCAAATCTCTTTACAGTAGCTGTCAATAACTTTCTAGGTTTTTTAAAGCTTGCAAATTCTATGAGAGCGTTGCCCATTGACGGTTGTCAAATAAAAAAAACAACGTGGTGTCTTTGGAGTTTAAACCTCAGCTTTTTAGGATTTGTAACTTCGACCTGAGTGCTGTCTTTTTAAGCAATAATCGTCACCTGTACGTCAGACATAGGGATGATTTTTAGGATATTTAACGGGTGTGTAACGTAAGAATTTATCTATTAAATGTCGGCGCTTCGATAATGAGTTTCAAAAATGCAAAATTTCTAAAAAATTTTTACTAACTACACAGCGACTACGTTCGGCAGACGCGTGAGGCTGGTTTTGCTTAACGTGCGCTAGGTAAAGCAGACAAGGAAGAAAAATTGAATGAAGAAGTGACCTCCTCAATAATATGCTGAATGAAGGCGAAAAATATGTTTTACATTTTTACGGATTTTTAAATTCTTGCTTAAATTGATTTTATGACTCGATAAAACGGGTTAAAAATGTGAAATGATAGGTTTAAAGTTAGTTTTGTTAAGGAAAAAACTTTATAGGACTATGGGCCGCTTTCAAAAGATATTTAGGCGAGCAACAGTTTTTAAAAAAAATCACTGTATATACAAAATATAATATATAATCATTGTATATACAATAATATAATAGATGCTGAAGTCTTAAAACAAGACAAAAGGCGACAGCGGATTTATAAGGATTTCGCATAGATTTTTTCCCCGCCGCGCTATATATGACCTCGAGCTGGCTACGTTTGTAAACTATTGTTCGATTATGGCATCGGTTTCAGTCGTCTCACAGCTCTTTCATTGTACGTTTCATTGGTGACAAAGTCTGTTTTAAAATCTCTTTCTACGCCTTCTAATATGGATAGCTGAAAGAAGCATTTGTGGCATGTTATGCTTCTTCCCTTTAAAAAATGTAGTGTGCAAAAGATACTGTAGACAAGATTTGCATCGTTTATGAGAGGAGCACTGCGACTGTTAGAACTGTCCACAATTGGTTTAAGCAATTTAGAGCTGGCTGTTTTGATTTGAAAGATGAAGATCACAGCGGTCGTTCAGTGACGACAAATACGGACCTCATTAAGAGGTTGCTCGCTAAAAGAGGTTGCTCGCGATATAATGGATGTCACTAACATTTGTCGGGCAACGGTACATAATCATTTAATCAAGACGGGGTGTGTGAATCGGTATGAAGTTTGGAGTCCACACCAATTGACAGACCAAATCTATGAACCGCGTAAGCAAGATACAGTTTGATTGGGGTGTTATAGCTCATTCTCCGTACTCCCTAAACGATTCTGCATTCCATTATTAGTTGTAGTAGTTCTCTCGTTAAAAAATTCTCTGCGCAATAAATGTCACAAACCCGAAAGCGCAATAAAAACGCAATGAATATTCTGCAATTAAGTCTCAACAATTTTGGAAAGAGGGCATAATTATCTCTGCCATAATAGTAGAAAATACCTCAAATTTGAGTAAAAAGCTACTAATAGTAGGTTCGATATGCCAGGTAGCAAGCAGACATACTGTGAATGGGAGAAAAATTAATTGTATTGTATTCGGACTCCGCAATATAAATTGTATTTTATCATAATTACATTCCTTGCTCTCATTTAAAATAAGTAGTAAAATTACAGTCAGCTTTGGCGGCCTTTTTTATACTTAACACCATCATAGTGGGTGAAAAGGTCCCCTTGGTTTTTTGCTCTGCTTTAGAGCTTCTTTTTGTAGCCTGCTCTGTTCAAATGATTCTAAACTGACATATGGTTGATGCATAGTGCTTTGGTTATTTTCTGATAGCTGGCGGTGCCGGTCTTTCATCGACTTTTTCAGTGATTGGCTGACCGGAGTGCAATCGAGCAAACCACTCCTGGAACCTTCGTCCACTTAACAGAATTTTTACCATACACTTCACAACATTTTTCTGCACGTTTTCACACATGTTTTATCACATAACGTATTTCTTCAACTATTTCACTGATTTCCAAATCAAACTAACTTTTTCCACGAGCAAAGAAGAAGAAAAAACTATCTTCTCAGAAAATGTAACCTGGAATGTCCCCTTTGAAGGGCATGCTCGTTTAAGACACTTGGGTGGATGTTGCCTTATATGTAGGTATCAACACCATTTCGGGGCAAAAAACCACGGAGATATTTTTTATCACCCATGGTAAAAGCTCATTGCTGTGTTGTTTGGGATTTACTTTCGGAGCCGGTTTTTCATTTTCATTGTCCATTTTTTTTTTTTTTTTTTAAGTTTACATTATATTTCTTTTTAATAATTCTTTTCTAGTTTACTTGTGTATATATTTGAAACTTGATATGATAAAATGACTTTTTATAGTAGAGATATCTTCCATAAGAATTCTCTACATTTCGCCGTCCCGAATAGTAAATGTGCACCGATTTTAAGTTTTTCATTTTCGCTATTCAGAATTAAGTTCTTTATTTGTGATAGACTTGAGAAAAATATTTTGTACGTGTTGTGAATTTTTGAATAGGATCATACGTGCGACTTGCACGTTTTATATAAAAAAAAACAAGCTACGTATTAAACTTTGAAGAATATTCTGAATACTTTTATATCACATATCTAAATAAAAAAAATTCTTTATAAGCAGGAGTAAACACCTTTCAACAATTTTAAAGTAATAAGATATACATAATTAGAAGAACAAACGTGTATTGCTGATTACAAGTTTATTATTATTGCGTAGTAATACAAAGCAATGAATATTTCGAGGAAGTCGTTATATTAGAAGCGATAGCTTTAATAATTAACAGATGCCACGTTTCCTGCAAGGCTACAAAAAGAAAATTGATATCAAAATATTAGTTGGTTTGCCGAAAAAAGAGCGGACAAATAGTTCAGCCACATGAAGCAAGCAAGCGTTCCATGGGCAAATATTGCGTAGTAATCGCGCATAAAAAACTCAAGCCACGCTTTCGTTTTTGGTAAACGGCTGAATGCAAAAATGAAATCTAACCTTCGATTAAGTGCTTACCTCCTCGAGTATATTCGTGTTTCTAAAACTGCTACAAGTCTGCAAGAAAATTTATAGCCGACCGTGTTCAGGTTAAGATTTCATTTCTTGTGACTTAAGTCACTTCTGAGCTGCGTTAAATAGCGGCCATGTTATTGCGCATAGAGTGAGAATGAGACGAGATGGCATTGTTGCGACTCCAGGCTTAGGTTTCGATTCGTTTCAATTAAGTCCCTCCTTCCACAGCTGCATTAAATAGCCCACGTGTGTCATAACACGAGCCGGTCGTATTACTGCAACTCCAGGCATCGATTTTGATTCTTGTGAGGTAAGTCACTTACGTGTTACTATGCATAGGTTGCTAAATTAAATTCGATATACGGCATTTATTATGAGTTTCAAATATTCTAGAGTACAAGTTACATAACGACCTACTCTTAGACTTAAGCAAGTGCATGTTATTTGGCAGTTTGCAAGCAGTTTGAAGCAATAATTTGACACTAGTTAAGAAAGACCATTTTGATATATCCCAAAGACTCCGTTTTGCGGAACAAGAATACACGTTTTAGTAAAGCATTTTATTAGAAATAAGCTTTGTCGTTGTCGATGCTAAAAAAAACCGATAGTTTCACTTATTGCAGAATCCACTCAGGCATTATAATGTAATGGAAAAGTTATGCCATAAACATTGCTAGAGCTATGACCCCCATCTTCAGATACATAAACTGCTTGACAAAGTGTCATTAAAATTTCATATACATATTTATTTTTGGGGCGTCTCTTCTGGATTGTTGTTGGTATATTTGGAATGTACATAATGGCATATTTTACTCGTTAATTACATACTGTTGCCAATTGTCTGCACACCAGATCCACTTAACTTCTTCAAAAACCTTATTTATTATAATTTTTCACTATTTCTTGCTTGAAAATTCCGAAAGATGTTACAATATTGTGTTTTTTCTGTCTTGTAAGTTATACATTGACTTGGTAACGACTATGTTGAAAACAGAATTAAGTTATCGTCGCAATACTTAATCCATTGACGTAAATGAGGTCTACAGACGTCCAGTGCTTGTGTTTGAGTGTGCTTTTGGAAGCCCTCAGTCATTTTAAAAGAAGTGAAAACATTATAGTCGGGCTGGGCTACCCACTCAATACCCTCGTATTACAATTATGGGTCAACATTCACCACCAGGTATTAAAACCTAGGCTTTTATGCTCTACAAAGGATCAATTTTCGTGAAAATCCTTATTAGGGTAGAGTCCAAAAAGTAGGTCCAAATTTGGCACAGTTAATTTTTTTATGTTAAATTACTACTATGATATAATTTTCATTATGAATCCTTGAAAATTATACCTTTTTGTCGTGTGAACTTCAATTTTCGTGATATGAGAACGGGTTAAAAAATTGCCACAGCTGGTCCAAAGTTTTCATACCAATTTGTAATCACGACATCTTAAGAGGTAGCCACTTTTGCCGAGAAATTTTGAAAATTGCAATCTTTTTCCATACAATGATTTTTCAGAATAGGGCGAAAAAGTGGACCGATCCGAACCATTTTCAATAGCTTTCATCCTTGAGTCAAAACACTTCGGTGCACGAAATTTCATCAAAATATCTCATAAATTGCGACCTGTAGCTTGAATATAAATTGACATGGAAGGACAGACAGGCTTAGATGAGTTCCGATTATGACTCTGAATCGTTCGGTATAATAAAATATGAGTCTATCTTAAGCTCTCCTACGTGTTACACATGTTCGCACTACCAACTCAATATGCCCTGTACTAGAAGTGCTGTAGGGTATAATAAGTGTCAACCATGTTAACCATGCGAAAAATTCAAAGACCCGATTCGTTTTTTAAAATCATTCTTAAGGTAAACGCATCTCTTACGCGCAAGTTACATTGCCGTTACATTGTCGTAGTGATGAAACCAACCCTCATAATGAATCTTAAGAGGCTCAACTGCATGATATGATGATGACCCTCATACGAATACTTGTACATGCAGAAATTTTGAACGAACATACGACCGGGGGATGAACATCTTTTTTGCATAATAAAAAATGATTGTAGGAATTTAATGAATGGCGCTAAAATTTTTTTTCTTCGTTGTGCGCGGTTACGATAAACTCATATGCGCCGTATTATTGATTAGTTTAAAAGCTAAAGAAAGAAAGTGTTTGATTTTTTTATTTAAAGCTAATATACGCAAACGCGTGCTTCACGGATTTAAAATGCAACAAAAGATAGTTTCAAAGATAAATAAAGAAGACATGCGTCAAAATTTAAAAGTGTCGCGTGCTCGAAATGCAAATTTTTTTTGTTTTTTTTTATTTTTCATTTTTTATTTAAACACTGTTTTATATGAACAACAGGACACCAAGGCAAGAAATATTTTAAACCATTGCTAGCAGGGTCAAATTCTACAAATTGTGTAAATAAATTCCTTTTATTTTTCGATGCGATTTATTAAAAATATTATTTTTTCGTGAAATCAATATTTTACTTATTTATTTATTCATTCATTTTGTTTTATTTAGCAAACAATAAAATTCGTAAATATTTCCTTGACATCATTTACGCATAATGCCGCCTGTCTGTGTGGATGTAAAATATCTCCACTATAAATAAATGGGGAAGAAAGGAAAATAACCAAAAAAAAAAAAAAAATAATAATAATTTTGTGAGAATAAATATATGCCAAAACTGGTATCACGAATTCCCTATTGCATGCATTTTCTTTACCATTGTACGATTTTTAATCAAGTCCATGATAATCCTCACCGCTTGCTCCCTGTTATTAGCTGATGGCCACAGATAAAGAGTTAGTGACCCGTGTATTGAATACCTTCAGTGTCCGCTTCTAATATTGTCTTATAAACTTACCTTTTTTTTTTTGAAGAATGTGAAATGTATATTAGGGACGGACATAAGTTTGAACATTTTGTTGATCATCCTCTCATTTTTAGAATACTTCAACCAGTAATTTCGAGAATTGAGTGGGGAAAAAAAATTCTTTTTTTTCAAAATTAGATTTTACTGATCAAACTACTAGCCTACGCCACGAGTGTTACAATCAGCCGTACATTTTGACCGGTTTGATGCTCAAAAAAAAAACAGAATATTAATAAACAAGGCAAGACACTGTTTGCTTGCACACACACTGATTCGTGACGCATTGGGAGCGCTCAGCTGGGAAGTGCTAGCGATTGTTTGCACCGATGGGACGGTGCGGTGCCGATGAGCAGCGCTTTGGTTCGCACGGACATGATAACAAATGGCTCGATGAAAACCTGTTGAATAAAAGCGAACAGTGTTATCCGCAAATCATTCGAAAGTTTTGAAAACCCGTAAGAAGGCATGGAGCTTGATCAGAATATACCACTTTTTGTCATCGTTTCGAATTTAATGTTTAATGTTGTACCCTACACCACCTTACTTTTTTTTTGTTAACTTTCTTCAGAGTGAAAAGCAGAAGCGTCCCCTTTTCATTATACAGAAAACTATTCGGAATCGAGCATGTAAGCCCGTTTGTTTGTCTGTCCGCCTTATGTCTGTCCATCTCAATGCTACAGATCGCGATTTTTAAGATATTTTAACGAAATTTTACTGACGTGTTTTGACTCAAGGACGATTTCTGCTGAAAATGGTTTACATCGGCCCACATTTTCTACCACTCCCTATATAAGGACTTACTTTAAAAAGTCGTCAATAGGAGAAAGTTGCAATTTTCAAAATTTCTCGTCAGAAGTGACTAAGTAGTAGTATTTCGGCATTCTAAATTGGTATCAAAACTCTGGACCGGCTGCGCTAACTTTTTCTCACATAACGAAAACTGAAGTGTATATGGCAAAAAGGTCTAATATTTATCAAATCATAATAGTAATTTAAGATAAAAAAATAACTGTACCAAATTTGGACTATCTTATCTAATTTTTTGTATAGATTTTCACAAAAATTCATCCTTTGTAGGTCAGAAAAGTCTAAATTTTAATATGTTATGATCAAACTTAACCTACTATAGTAATTTAACAAAAAATAATTCATTGTACCAAATTTGGACCACAGTATAATAATAACAGTTAGGTCCGCAAGGTTATTATGTGAGTCTCACTAATTGTTCCCTTTACCCTTTTCACCTTTTTGGTTCGATTCTCCTATCTTATGCTATACATCTTTTATTGGACGTAACAAGGCTATTAA